CGACCCGATCATTGGTTTGAGAAAATTGATCCAACTGCCGAGAATGATTCGATCAGGCGTAATCGATGCCCTGTGAGGAAATTCGCCTTTGGGATATCAGTAACGAGTTCGCGTCAAAGCCATCCAACATCATTTCGTACAAGTGATATCCGGTGCTTTCCGAGCATCGAATCACAGCGGTTATAGTGATGTGCTGAATCGTCTAATCCGAAAGCGTCCGTTGCCGTACCTAGGTCCAAAAGTCAGATGTCAATATCGAGCACCTGGAACATGCCCCAGATCAGCAGACCAGTACAGCTAGCCGTGACAACACAAAATTTCTTATCGTGTGAAAGAATTCAATCTGCTTTAGCGGCTTAATGCTAGTACTCAACATGCTGCTCTTATTTGCCTCTATAGGCGACACTTGCTCAGCATATTCCTTCCGCTAAAGGTATCCGCATGGACCAACTCGCTGCTTGTGTCACGCCCGCGGTTCTGGATTTACGCCGATCCATCTCTTTTGTATAGGATTCTCAAACATAACTCAGCTACAAATTTATCATCGGCTTGCGAATACTTCCGCAACTATACTGGCAGCTTCATCTCGGGAACTGGGGGTGCTGGCGATATCTGGTCTCTGCAAAAGTGGTGGAACTTCTGCGTCAACAAGGCGGCCAAACCATATTTCCCGCCATAGCCTAGACATACTGTGTCTTACAGAAGTGTGGATCACAGCAGTGGTCTCATTGGCGAAGTCACTGTGATAGTCCTTACACCTTTTATACCGCCAACGCGTAGGCCCGGCTTAGCGTCCACTTTGGTCGCTGCATGAGTTGCTTTGTCAACCCGGATAACATTTGCCATAAAGTTCGAAATGACCCAGATGCAAATTTTGGGATTGGCCTGGTTTTGTGCCGAGCCGATGGTCCAATATTGGATATGCATTGTTGTCGGCGGTTGACTGAATCTCGTGCGGCGGTGCTTGCAGTGATGGGGGAGCTGCAGGAAAATATCGCTGTGTACTGTGTCCTGTGTCATATGTCAACATCATGATCAGGCAAAATGCGCATAATACTCACAAGGGTGTTTGCGGAAACTCAGCAGCCGCCTAGATTGATGTCTCGCGTATGGGCATCTCCGCTCAGATATGAAGGTTGTTTTGCTTCCGCCGTCTGTTCCAGGCTTTTTTCTGGTGGTTGTGAGCGGGGTCTCCCTCTGCCGGTCGCATCTACTTGATCATGCTGAGAGCGCAGTAGTCATTGCCTCATTTCCAACATATGTGGGGTTGTCTACGAGAAGCGTTGCCATGAGGTATCGTTACAGTTGCTATCGACGGTCGGAAATTCTGAGTTACACTGTTTTTCCATACTGGATTGCTGTTGGCCACGAAGCCATCCTGGAAGAGTAGCTATTCAAACGAAGATATCGCTCAATGCTGCGTTTCGTCGGTTGCAGTAGGGGAGGTCGCAATACTGAAGCTGCCGATCGCCCAGAGGTCATATATTACCCACTTGGATGCCAAAAGTATGCCGCCATTGTTCGAGACCAGAGTGTGCGTGGACCTGGGCCACAGCTCTGCCTCCATCGTGCGACCCCGATAGATACGCAAACAGTCACGGCTAATGAAACCGCAGTCGTAAATGCCTTGAGAATCAACTTCTTCATATGAAAGGTATCCGCGAGCTCATGGAAGGCTGCAGCATACTCGTGTAACCCAGAATAGGTGATGGTCATGATGCTCCTCATCGGTCGTCCCCCTCAGCGGTGACTCCACGAGCTTTATCAGAATGATATCGAGGAGTGCAACTTCGTCTCAGCAGTATCAGAGATACAGGGAAGATCGATCCATGGATATTTGTACGAGACCTGAAAGTTTTGTTGGAGGTCGGAAGACAGAGGGCGGCAAACAAGTTCTATCCTCATGGATGGCCTCTTATGTCGCACGGGCCATCACGACTGAGAGAGCGCCGTGCAATAGTGCTCTTGCCATGAGAACAAGAAGACGATGCTGAGAGTTTCTGTCAAAGTTCCAGGCTCTCCTAAAGGAGAGAGAAGCACTTGGCCAGACGGCCGTGCCAGAAACGCCATGTACAGTGCAAGGCAGGCTATGAGGCCTGTCCAACACTCTTTATCGACAGGAACAGTAATGTCCCAAGAGGAGCGCACGATCAACTCTGTTTTTCAGATACTTGGCCACGTATCCCAGACAGGGCTGCTGTCAGTGTAGGATGTTCTTGTCTGTCAGGTCAGTTACCAGTGATGAAAACGTTGCTCCTATGTGCTCTCCACTGCGACATGACGCGAGAAGCCCATATTTGCGTCTGTTAGAAGTCACAGCACCGACATACTGGGACCGTTAGTAACCAAAATATAGTGCTCACGTCCCGATGAACATTCGGGCTGAAAAGGCTGAGACTTCCAGGACAGTCTCCAACTCTCATACGCGTGCCATGATTCTGTTGTCTCATCGACACTTAGAACAAGCGCTCATACAGGATTTTGATGATTAGTATGCAGCTACCATCATGGTAGTATATTTCCCGGATCTTTCATCGGTAAAGAAAGTCATTTCTTCTTGCTACAATAGACATAGAGGTAAAGCATATTTGGCCCGAACTTCATCAAACAGTATCAATTCATAGTAGGTATATGCTGCTAGAGCCGCTCCTTCAACTAACGATAGGGCTGTACTTGATATGAATTCACAAGACGATGTATATGCGGCTCGTTGCAATCACAGCAGCCACACCCATTCTATCATTTTGCTTTTCGAAAAAGCCACCATTGATGCGGGCGCCTGTGACGGCATAGTATTCGACCTGTAGGAAGCCTATATGTAGTTTCAGTAATGAGGTAAGGTCATGCAACTAACGTACACCAAAATTCATGGAAGGATGGCATGGTAGCGGCTCCTATCAGACACACATGAGCTTATGAAGCTACCCGTAGGGATGCCAACCTCCAGAATAACTAAACCCTGCCGCACAAGGCAAACCAATGAATTCAGCACATGAGAGATGTTGTTCTTATACAAAAGTAAGTTAAAGAAACCACAGCAAGGCCGCGTATGATCTTGCATACCGACCCTGTCTTTCTGCAAACGAGACTCCCTCTCTGTATCAGTCCCCTTCTTCTCCAACCGACTTCTATCTGCCTATTTCCTCTGCCCCTTTAACCCCCTGTATAGCCCGTTCTCCTGCCCTTCAGCACCGTATATCTCTTTTCCCATCCCCGCCCCCTCCTATTCTCTTCTGTTGCTGCCTCCTTCTTCCTGAACACCCAGTCTTCTCCTCAAATCTATTTGTCGTTCCTGCATCTTATCCTCCTCAAAGGAATATCCCGGTCTCTCCTTACATCAACTCCGAAAAGCGTTCAGATCCACACCTTCCACCCTTCAGCGATCCCAGAACAAGGGGCTTCGCTAGTATCATAACTACAGGCATTCTTATCCTCTTGCAGGCCCTGAGATTGTTCTTTTGTATGTTGTGATGCGGGGTGGAAAAGAGCCGCTGGGTCCGCGCCGTGTAGGCTTTGGCTGTATGAGGTTGGATGGCGGGTCGAGGGGCGGTAGGATTCGGTTCGAAAGGTGGACGAGAAGAGGAAGAGGGAGTTCTTGAGAGCGTAGTAGTAACTGTTAAGAGGACGGAGCGCGGTCGGTCTGGAGGATGAGATACCCATATCTCCCTGCGTTCTTGTCAGCTTTGCATCCTTTCCTATGTATGTGCGCGCACACACGATTTGAGGTCATACCTTTCTTCATGGCCCTTTGAAGTTTATTTCTCGATCTGCAGTTTAGTTTTCCGTCTGTCGCATGCACCTTCGCCGCCAAGTGTCTAACCTGCGACTGCAGAACTGCGAAGAGGTATCCCTTTTGCTATTGCGCGCAACAGCACCGCCTTCGGAATCACCAAATGCTGTCACTCTATACTGAGTTTCTGGTATACCCTTATTCCAGGAAGACCAGCCCTGCTGGTTGTATCTTTGCGCTCGTCATGGTTGCGTTACCACACTCCAGCAAGGTACTTTCCTTGGTGCCAGCCATGCTTGCTGTCGCAAATTGACAGCACGCCTTCGGGCGCTTTGGTCAGCAGCAATTGCTTGATTCTAGCACATGCCGTGAGCTGCTTGTCCATGCAGTTCTGATGTGTCCATGCTCCCGCATGCTTGCTCAAACATGCAGTGACACTAGCTGGCTCGTCGCAATCGCTTGGTCCAAGTTTTCTGTGCCATGCTGCTGACAGTGCTTCTTCTGATTCATTCCAATATCTGAATGATTATGTGTTTGTCATATGCCGCCTGATAAATCGCTGGCAGTGTATTGTTTGTGGCTCGATCGAGAAGAAATCGCGGGGCAGGCTCGGGGCCATGAGTTTCTTTCGTGGTATCGGAAAGTATGCCTACAGAGGCTTTTCCTAGGGCTCTGTCAGATCTTGCAGTTTGAATTGTCTCTTGGCATACCGGTATTACTATGGAAACAGACCTTAGGAGGATGCTGCTTAGTAGTGCAACAGCTAGCTTCGCGGTAGCATGCATCAGGCACAAGGCTGTCTTACAATGGACTTTTGTTTCTGAGTCTCTTTTATCGAATCAAGAAGGGACTAGAGGGGTCTTTTGTAGTAGTGATGCGGATACGCGCTCGTACTGGCTGACTTCCAGAGTTCCAAGTTCAGACACTTGAGTATCCTGTGTTGGATCAGTACTCACCTTCTATTAGCAGCCATCTTTGAGGCAGTCAGAATATTTCTGATACTGTTATGTGCCGTTGGTTGTGTGATAGTTTGATTTCTGTCTGTATCAGAAGCGGACTGGTGAGGGTTCGATGCTGGGTCTTGGCACAGCTTGCTGCGGTAACAACAGTGCTCCATTCCAACGCTACAATCAGGCAAACAGATGCCGAAGTCCAAAACTCTCTGTGTTGAGACTTCTGAGATTACATTCGATATCTGCTTCTGGTGTTTCATCAGCCTTACGGGTTTCCAGGTCAGCTACGTTTTCACAACCTTTCTGTCCAGTGATTGTTACGGTACTCCCGTCAGCAGTATAGCCCTTCTTGGAGTCTTCTGTTTATTTCTGACAACATAGATAGAGAAATACCGTAGAGCGACCTGGATATTGATCGTTACCCCCCTTCGCGAGCGCGCGTTCCTTAACCGACTTCGACGCTGTCGATGGATAAAATGAGAGATATCAGGCAGTACACCCACGTGTTTTCCACGAACAATACAGAACAGAAGTTCAGAAATTTGGGTTCACAGGGAATCAGGCATACCTAGGGGAAAAGAAGGTTCAGTCTGATGCTGAAGCTTGATGCCATGGTGCTGCCAACCAACACAGTTGGCGCAACTATCAGCACGAATGTTCCGGCAGACGCAGGGCGGCTGACATGGATACAAAGACTGGTAAGAACAGTGAGCGTTCTGGTCGGCATAAACAGGTCACTGTCTCGAGCCCAGTGCCAGGGAGAAATACTGGAGTGTGTCTAGGTTTGTCAATAGCGCAAACTGTTGTACTGCCCACATATCGTGCCACCGCCATTCGTGTCTATCTATGCTATTCACTCTTCTATTGCAAAATTTGGATAAGCTCTCAGCGCACCTGTCTGACAAATTGCACGCACACACGCAAATTTTCACTAGCAACAAGTCACAACATTGAAAAATAGAGTAGAAACACGATATCATTGATCTATGAATGAATGTACCCAAGCTTTTCTCGGAGGTCAACATAAGAGCGCGTTGCTTTCGTTTCGAGATGGGATATTGATCTAGGCCACTGTACTTGAAGACGATGGTAATTGAGGTACCACATCTCTGCTTAATCAGATGGTCAAACACAAAGCACAAAGACTTGTTTCAGGATCTCGCATAGATCCTACCTTTTTTCTTTTATCAAGTGCGACTGATGAGCGTCGTTGCTGCGCGGCAGCTGTTGTGATTCGGGGTTGGCGGAGGAAACCTGTAGTGCGTTAGTAACAGAAAGGAGAAAAACGAAAGCGGGTAAACAAGGCAAACAAGTGAGTAGATCTCACTCGTAGCACTCTCAGAAGAAGTGAGGTTATCTTCATTTGAAGTCTGCGTTGAAAACTACAATTTTTCCGTTCATCACCGAGTGTTGATAGGCCGCGCCAATGTGTAAGCAGTGAGGGGAGTAAAGGAAGACTCAGCTTGATGTTACCATAAGGTGCAGTGGCTGTTATTTTGATGTTTCTCAATCAATATCCGAGTTTGGGTGCCTCCCGGACATCTGGAGAACCTGCAGTGCGTCAGTCATATACAGAAGAGGCGCTTGGTGTATCTGTGAGTCAGTGAGCTGTCCTCAGTTAAGTGCTCGTGATACAAACGTATCATTATCATAGGGAAGTCAAAAAATACAACTGTCGTAAAGACAATCATCATCGGACGCGGTGTTGGTGTGGGAGAGAGATAGTAAGGGGTAGACTCAGCTTGGTATGGGGGACAGAGGGAGATAGAAGGTCATGGTTGAACCTCACAAAGGATTGGATTTGAGTGTTGAAGAGTTTGTGGGAAGTGAGTGAGGAGGTTTTTATAGTGAGCAGTCAGACAGTGACTTGGAAAGTGGGGCGTTGCGTGGTGGTCGCCGGCTCTGGAGCAAACGCACCTTACGCACTGGTGAAATCTACCCTTGGAATTGACACCAAACAATACATTAAGCACACAAATTCTATCATAAATTCTATTAAAATGCCTACAAACCATCGGAACCTTCCAGGAACAGGCCGTCCTGTTGGCCGTCAAGCTCGTCGAGCTCGTCGGGGCAACTTGCAGCCATCACGGGCTGCTCCATCTCCGTCTACGAGAGACCCCCCTCATCCACCTAGTGATACCCCCTCTTCCCCTCGTCCTGATTCCCCTCCACCGCCTCTTCGCATCATAACAATCGGATTGGCAAGAGAACTGCGAGAAGACGTCGATAGAATCTTGTCTAGCCTCACCCAGAGGGCAGCCTTCATCACTTTCTTGATGGAGGATACCAGTTCGGACTACGACACCGTCAGTCGGCATGTACAAGCTTACATGTTCGAGTTTCATATCCTTCTTCGAGCACAGAGGGATATGGAAGTCGCTGAGGAGCGGGAACGAAACTTCTACCAGTGGTGGAGTACCTTGAGCCCTGTAAGTCTATCCCAGACGCAACTTGGAGATAAAACCACGTAAGCTTACTGACTACCACCCAAGGCTGAGCAACAAGAGCGCCTGTCTCTGGCCCAAGACATGGCTCCACGGCGATGGCCAGCAAAGGCTTGAATGTAAACCCAAGGCGATGACAAAGACAACAATGATTGGGCTCCAGCGACGCACATCACTGGAGTCAGTCTCAGGTACGTCTAGCCTCTTACTATCTCCCTCCCCATCTTCACCTTTCGCAGCGATTTTCTCGCTCTATCCCCATGCTTCTCCTATAAGCACAGTGGCACGCAGAGTCGCAAGAGCAAACACCTTTTCTATCCTCCGGTCTGAAACCCGCTTTCATATTTCTTGAATGCGGAGTCCGACCGTACGGGCAGAGAAGGATCATCGCTTTTTAACTGTACTGCAGTGATCAAGATTATTATCCTGTAGTAAAGACAAAGCGATGACATTCTTGTCCATTGTTTTCAAGTTCATACGTGGGCACAAACAAGAAGCTAACGATGTACATTTAGTTAAGCCCTCTTTACTGCCACCGCATCATCCAGAAGTCCCGAACAACCCCAACCCCCAACCCCGACCGAATCTCCCGCCGTACCCCCCATTCATCGATATATACACCCCGCCGATTGCTGCTTCTCCGCCTTATACCCCACCTGCTTAGACATCTTCTAAGCCGCATCCACCCTGAATTTCGGATCTTCTCCATGGACCACCGTGCCCCAACGTTGTCAGTTGGCAAGCAGGATACAGGAGAAGAAACAGTCACTAAGAAAGGATGGGCTTTAAATTTAGATTTTCTGTTTGATAACTACTTAATATAATCTCTTCTGCGTTGACCCAATACAACATCCGACATGACCACATGATTCAAATTCCTTGTGTAACTACCGGGGATATCACTGTGAAGGCAATATAACCATCAACTTGATACACTGCTTCACCCATATACAAGCAAATAGCTTCATGCCCAATCATCTTTCTCCAACAAATCCGCAGCACTGTCGATGGCCTTGGTAACGATGCCAATCCAACGTTTAGTAGCCGCCTCGTCACCCTCTCCAATAGCTTCTACTATACCAGGAAAGGTCGCGCCCGAGTAGCCAGTCCACTTGCCCGGTGCAAAGACCACATGCTTGAACCAGCTTCGTCCATCAAGTCCTTCAGGAAACAAGAACTTGCGCTCCAAGTATTTGTACTTATTGTTGACTGCGCGAATGGCAACAAAGAGTTGGAACTTCTTCCAGGGTTGCCACCAGGGGATATGGTCGATGAGGGAGTACTGAAGTTCGAGATCGGCAGCTCTTTCGTCGTGAGCTGCAGAGGCTTCGAGAAAATGGGATACCGCGTCATCAAGCGGTTGCCAGCTTTCGAACGATAGCGTATCTGGAGCAGCCACCTGTGCTGTACGTTTGGCGGCTTGGACGTACTTGCTCAGGCCGAGCGCGTAGTCTGTAGCATTGAGCTGAAGGACGGGCGAGTCAACGAGCTTGGCCGCTACGAGCGCCCAGATTTTTGATATGGTGGCGTGGTACTCGAAATTAGGGTCACCGTACTTTTTCATCCAGTCGAAAGAGTCATAGTTGCTGTGGTAGTGGTAGACTGCAGACTTGGCGTCAAAACCAAAGCCCATGTCAATCGATGGGATACCAGCAAAGTCTTGAAAGGCCGTGAAGTCACTGCCGGATCCCATTGTCTCGATCTTCTTATCCCATACGTTGTACACCGACTGGCCAGGTACGGTCTGGTTGGGAGAGTGAACCATTTTAACTAGGTTGAATTAGCCATATCCAATCAACAGAACATCAATGTAGACTTACTAGCTTCCTCAACTACCCTGCTCAACAGCGGTGCAGCCGAAAGTTTGAAGTCTGGCCCATTTGTGCCAACATCGACATTGAGGTATGCGACAGTTGAAGCAGAAAGCCAGGGCAAGTATTCCTCCACCCATTCCGTACTTCCGACCAAACCGTACTCTTCGCCATCCCAGCTCGCGAATACGATGGTTCTCCATGGCTTCCATCCAGATTCCATCGCAGCACTGAAGCTTCGGATCACTTCATTCAGAGCTGCAGAGCCGCTGTTAGGGTCCCCTGCGCCTCCGGCAATCCACGCATCCCGATGATTTCCCAAGACAATAACTTCGTCGCTGATCGTGCCGTTGATGACTCCAATCACGTTCCAGAGTGGTGTTGTAACGTATTCCTGTTCATTTATGAGATTTAGGACAACGTCATCTGGAGACGGTCCAACATTGTACTCCACACCCTTGTAGTCCAAGCCACCGCCGTGCCAATGCTCGTTGAAAGATGATGCTTTCGGACCATGACCGTTGAGAGCCTTAAGGAGAGGGAGGGCATCGAGGTAGGAGATAGGTAGAGATGGAATATGTGGCATAGCATGATCGACCGGTTGGCGGGGACAGCCAGGCTTTGAAGGGTAGCCAGGGGTAGTTGGGTCACCTGGGGCGAAACCTGAAGGAACCACAGCATTAGCAAAGCACTGGAAGAATAAGGCTCAACTTACTCAAAAACTGGACACTTCCTCGCTGGACACTGCTAGGCTCTCTGGCTGGACCGTCTGGATAACATGCGACGCCGTTCTTCTCGGTGACCTCACCATCGTCGCCAGGATCGCTGTACATGACCACGCCAACCATACCTAGCTCTTGGGCACGCTTGACCTTCAGGCCACGGAAGACACCGCCGTACTTTGCCAGCGCAATCTTGCCTTCCAGACTGACGTTTGCTGCCCTGAGTTCCTCAAAATCCTTGTATGTGCCATAGTTGACGAAGACATAGGGGGCCGTGACATTTCCTGAGGCGCTGTATCCGTGGAAGGTGGGTACACGATCTGCAAGTTGGCTTGACTTGTCCTCGTCCAAGACGTCTTCTTCCAACAGCGCTTCGTACGTAACCTTCCATGCGCCCTCTGAACCAGCGGAAACATCCTTCTTCTCGTGCCTGTCTCCAATCCTTTCCATCAGAGCCAGCCGGTGACCTTTTGGATAGTTGATGTACACTTCATAGTCGACGATGGTGCTAGCGACTCCCCACTCCTCCCATCGTTCTCTTGTCCATAGTGCCTGGCTAAAGTTCTTCCCGGCGAGATGTGGCCCGCTGGTATAGTACCTGCTCCAGTATTCCGCCTTTTCTGCGCTTGGTGTCTGAAGCAGAGTCTTTTGTAGGTCTTCAAAGTCTAGTGCCGTCTTGCGTGCCCATCCTTCAGGAACTTGTTTGGCAGACGAGGACAAGAGTGCAGATACTCGTGATACAGAAGCTTCATCGTCTTGGGTAGGAGGCGCAACAGCGAGAAAGAAGATGGCAGCAAGTCCACCGGCGATTATTGTCGCGCTCAGGAGGGTAGTGCAGAAGAATCGAAGGCGATGGTACGGGTAACGGTCGCGATGGGGGCGCACATCGACGCGTTGAATCAATGGACTTCTTTCGTCGGCCATGGCTGTTAGCTTTTCATTGCTCGCCAGGAGCTTTGTGTACAAGGAATGATGAGTCTTCGATACCTAACCAGAGGTTCTGGAGATGATAAGGCCAACTCCACCCAGCAAGCTATCGCGCTGTTTCGGCTGTAATGGCGTCACCTGCCTGAACATCTTATCCGCTCGTATCTTAGCGCGCATCTTCTGCCAGGGGTGCAAAGAGCCGCGGCATCTACTTGCATATCGAAGCTGCGGGCAACTACGACGAAATTTAAACATATCTCATTTTTGCTGTATCTTCATTTCATCGTCAGCATGGGATGGTGTTGGTCGCTTTGGTGATGCCATGCCAGTGAGCAGTGGCGCGTGCCAGCATTTACACAGTAATTTACACGCAGCCAGTGGCAGAACAAACACAACTGCTCGCTGTGAATTCGAAAGCCGTTGTCCACATGATTTTTCAGAGTGCTCCTTTGGTTGTATCCGGGCCTAGTTGTTGTTATTGTCCTTTTTCTACTTGGTTGCATCTTAGCCATCTAATTGGATTACGCAAAGTTAACCTCAACACATGCAGCGCTCTATTTGTCTTGACGTGGAATCCTCAAAATCACTTCCAAAAACTCGACCCGTTGTAGAAATTCGGCGACTTGAATGTCTGTTGTTCCACCACGTCCTCGAGGTATTCAGCAAGATGGTGGTATTCAAATGCTTATTTGCCTCATTAGTCGACTAACAATAACTCTTACAGACGTCGAATTGAGCAATGAGAGCCATTTTCACTGTATCTCCACAACTGAGGGGTATTACAGAAGATCAATGTGCACCATGCAACGGCACGCATGAACCTGCAGTAATAGATGTAGCTTTGAGAAAGCACAAGTAGATGAAATGGGTGAAGTACAATGGGAAGTAGGTATTCAAGAAACAAGTGTCACTGTTGGCATGGGGATATCTGGGGCACTTCACATGGCCTAATACTCATTATGCTGAAACACGAGGACTTTGACTACCAATTATTCCCTGCAGGGCTCCATAGACAGCATGTATCAATTCAAGACGATACAGAGGCCGAATCAAGCCACATTTACGGCACTGAAAGAGAAAAACAGAATGCCATTCACACAGAGGAATTGGGGATCTCATCATTCCCAATTTTCTCCGAGTGCCTAATCTTAACCTGTCACGTTCACTGACCCTTTACTAAGCTAAAAGGTGAGTGCAAAAAGCGTTTACAAGTGCTATTCAGACGTGTCGTTTACCCTTCACATCCCCCTCTACCCCCATCTCCACACACATTCCCATCCCCACCACCACAAAAGGCAAAACGCACTTCAAAAAACCCGCCTCCAACAAGTCCACCTTCCAACAACTATGCAGTCCAAAAATACACCTCAACCCACTCCACCACCAGCGGCAACACCAACTGCAGCTCCGCCTCCGCGTGCTGCAGCTCCCACCTACACCATGAGCTGTGCCGACGCCCGCCGCAAGCAGCAACTCCGCAAGCAACTCAACAGCATCTGCGAGAAGGTGGCCACCAGATCCAAGGCCCTCATCGACACCAGGTACAAGTACTCCTGTATGGAGCACATGCAGGAGTACAAGCTCTACGTGTTCTTCGAGCCCGAAGTCAACCTGGCGATGCTCAGCATCACCTGCGAGCACCAGCGCCAGCAGATCGAAGAGGTTGTCAAGGCGCAGCTCGAGGTGGCAAGGTGGGCGAACTTGCTTACCATGGCGGAAGCAGAGGAGAAGCGGCTTGATGCCGAGTTCTGGGCGCTTGTCAACAAGTACAAGAAGGGTTGAGGAGGGGGTTGGATTCTGCTTCATGGATACTATGGTGTCTTTTCTTCTTTTCTATTCGATGCCGCTTCTACCCTGGCAGAGGGTTTGGCTTGCACCTTGAATACATGGATCGGAGCATTCGGGTAACACCGTGGTGGTTCTTTCACCTCAACGAGCATGGAAACGCCGTGACGCTGCGAGCTCGGCAGCGTTACCAAAACGAGCCCTCTACTATCCAATGATACTTCTCATCCTCCACATGTCAAATAAAATATTGATGCTATTGTGATTATTGTCTTCAATCCCTCACTGATGCCAAGTGCCGTCTCAATCGCAAGGGCACAATGCCCCACATACCCCAATTCTTCCTCACAAACGCACAAAGTATAGTCACAATCACAATCACATGCATGGCACAAAAGGAATCTTGGTGGTGAAAAAGGTATATGTTCAGAGCGCTATGCTACAAAAAGGGTATGTACTATACACAAAGAATCGAAGGCACTCGTCGTATCCAACGAACGAACGAACCTCAAAAAAAGAATTCCATCACGTCATCTCATGGCCGTGACGAACGGGTAAGCCATCATGGGAAAATGCTTACAGGAAAGCGCGAGCGTGGCGGCGGGCCTTGCTAGCAGAGCTGCTGGCCTTGCCCTCGAGCCAGGTGATGAAGGTGTCGAGGGTGAAGGTCTCGGGGAGGTTACCGCTTGAAGGAGCAGTGGAAGGAGCAGGGTTCTGGGCCTCAGGGGTGACGGAAGCAGTAGGAGCAGATGCGCTTGGCGAGGGAGCAGAAGGCGAGCTGGAGGGGGCAGATGAGGGAGCAGGCTTGGAGGGGGCAGGGGTGGAGCCAGAGCCAGAGCCGGAGCCAGCGCTCATGGGGGCAGGACCAGGGACGACGTAGCTGTCGAGCTTGCTCTGGTAGACGTCGAACTTGATACCGGGGTCGGTGGGAGTGTAGAGCTTGGTACCAACAACACCCTCGGGCTTCTCGGTACCGCTGCCGGTGACCTCAATGTTGACACACTGGGGGTAGTTCTGGGCACCGTTCTCCTGGCCAGCGGCGTGGAGCGCAATGATCTCGTGGCGGAAGACGTACTTGCCAGCGGCAAGGTTCTCAGGGACGGTAGTGGTCCAGGTGTTGTTGTTGGCAATCATCTTGACGGCAGCCCACTCGCCGTTCTCGTAACCAACACCCTCAATCTTGAACCACTTGAGGTCCTCCTTCTTGACAGACTGGATGTCGCCAGTGTAGGAAGCAGCGTAAGTGAGGACAGGACCAACGTGGGATGCGGGCCATGTGTTCCAGTGGAAGTCGATCTTGCCACCGGCGGGGATCTTGCCCATTGTGTCCGAGCTACCCTTGGGGCTACCGGCCTTGTGGCAGATGATATCGCCAGTGCCGAAATTGGATGGCTCTACGAAGCCGTTGTCGAGGTTCTCGGCATACCAGCCAAGGTGCTCAGGGACCTTGCCGCCTTGCTGCATGGCATAGTAGTACTCGATCAGGTAACCCTGCTCGTAGACGCCATTGAGGCTGACACCAGTGAGGGAACCGTGGGCAGAGGCGGTAGCAGCAAGAGCCGCGATGGCAGTGATGGTGGAGGCGAGAGTCTTGTACATTGTGGTAGATTGAGATGAATCTGGAAGAGGTTGAAGTTGTTCGATGGAAATGAATGTTCGATGGGAACGAAAGAATGTCTGCCGGCTTCACACAGTGAACGGACTTGATGAACGAATGTGCAGGAAAGAAGGGACGGGTATAGAAACCAACGAATTGAAGCTGTAGCGATGAAGGTACCGTTCCATAGGGGTACCTCAGGGCTCTATTTATCCAGTTGAGACCTGGTGCTCGGCAGCGTGGAACCCACGGCATGGCATGGGTGACTCGTGGAGGAATGCCCGGCACAACGGCACAAAACCAAAACGACTAAACAGAGCCTCCACCTGATATTGTTTTGATCGCCATATTTCCACTTTGAGCCTGACAAGCGACATTGGCAGGATGCATAGGACTCCACGCGCAAGCGGCAAGGCACAGCTATGGAACGGCAACGCATGGGTATGCCATCATATGGTGCAGATGATATGATTAACATGCATAGGGATGAGTCGGGTGGCCCGGAGAATTGGTAGTTCTGGTCTCAAGCGAGCGGGTCTAACCTGGCGGCATGAAGCCTGGGTAGCCACAATGTAGCCAGTGTTTTGCCCGTGCATATGGGCGTTAGCCAAGCGCTTGTTTTGTTGATGCCAAAGAAGATGCCGAGCAGGGAGGCATTGATCGTGGCGTCTGTCGGTGGCGCTACTGATGGGCCTGGCGTCTTGACATCGATGAACGGGAGACTTGGTGTTCATGCATTCGCCGGAACGTTCCGCCACCAACATGAGCGACCGTCCGGTCTGGAATACAGTAGTAGTGAGATTAATACTACTATCCAAACTCTGCCTTTGGTTTAACCCTTGGATTGCGTGCTGCAAACATACGCGTCATCACCAACTCGAAGCCTAAGTGCAAGTAAGTGGTCGGCCGTTGTGTGTACTGACATAGAAGCGCTTCGAACAGCGCGCGCGCAACGGCCATGCACCCCTAACAACGAAGACAATCCTGTTGCCCCACAGCTGTGCCGCTCTGTTCCTGACCTCGCTTGCCCACAGTAAGTATTGTTTCAAACATGAAACAGTGGATTTTTTTGCCCAGTACTAGTGCACCGGCGACAACTTCTCTGTTAAGAATCGTCCGCATATAACTGACCAGTCGAAACATCGTCGGCGAAATTGGGGTTGGACGCGGTGCCCGGGATTCGGTCAGTGATTACACTCTCGAATCCTAGACAGCATCGCCGGTGCTGCGCCGCCTTCTTTCATGCATTGCTTGTTATCGTTCTCTTTAGCCGGCTTTCAACCGCTGAGGCGAGGCGCCGTTTGTAGATGTTTCCAATATAGTTTTCGAAACGGGCAGGAGTTGAGTATGGCAGTAATCAGTCATCCCCCGCCTACCAGGACCAAATGTAGCGAAACCTTTACGCGAAATGGAGGCACATGCCTAGAGCTCGGCTTACACTGTAGCTTCCTCCAAGCTCAGGAGTGATAAATTATATGCTGATGTCTCTTGGTACCTTCTTCATCCAGTCGCCACAAGGAATGCCAGGTTCCCGTTCCTTGTGTCATGACACCATTCCAGAGAGAAGACTACGTTGACGTAGCGAGCTGTTAGACCTGAAGACGCATGTGCAAGGGGGGGGAGCCTTGCACAACTTTGTCTTTCCCGCAAACGCCCATGGGCGGCATGCACAGCGGACGCAATATTGAAGTATCCTTACCGTTAACACAGAAGCACTGCTTGCTCGGCGTAATGTTTCTGATAAATAAGTAGCCATCTTCGCAGTACGTACGCGGGATGTAGGCGGAGAGAGCGAGAGAAACAAGGACAGGCCACTGACGGAATTTCGCTGGTGTAGATTTACGGACGACGACTTCGCCGCTTTCATTGGCTTGCAGTCTACTCTAGCCACGCCTGGATACCGCCGACCATTAGCACAGCGATTCCCAATACCCATTGCGCAACTCCAAATGCACCCTGCACGTCTTTCTTCATAATCGCCCACAAAGCGGCAAATACTGCACTACTCAGGCCACAAATACCCACCGTAAACGCCCAAACACGTTGGGCCAGGAATCCTTCCACAAGATGAACACCCCACCCCATGCCGAACTCTAGCCGCTGACGCCGCTTTGGACTACGTAGATATGTTATCAGCTCGCTGTCATAATCGTTTGGATGCCTAAAAAGATGAAGGAGATAGGTGCTGCCGACAGGAGGTAGAAGGTCGTTTGGCTCAAACGTATATGGATGCTGTGATGCCCCCTGAGATTTCTCTGGGTTCCCAGCTGTAAGTACTGAAGAGGTCGCTGATCTCGGAGGCATAGATGGCGCGGCACGAATGTCAGCAAATCGATTGCGATGAACTTCGAATTGTACAAATTCGATAGTCGTTAGTCCACGCAGTCGTGTCCAGTTGTACCATCCGCGATGGAGCTGGTCGTAGTGCTCCCGTAGGGAAAGCGCTAGGTCTTTATCGCTTCTTATTCGGCCTTCGTTGACGTCGAGATGGACGATCTTGGGCGTAAGACGCCCCTCATTTGCGCAGGTGAGAAGCCACGATTCCTCAGCATAATTAGGCATGCGAATACTGAATGCGCTGTCTGCTCGCACACGGGACGAGTTGTACTTTGATGGATCACTGCCTCTAGACCATGGAGCAGATCCACCATATGTAGACGATGGCGTCGTCAGGGTTGACGCTCGACTAGAAGAGTCGAAGATAGAGGACACAGATGATACTGTGCTGCTCTGGCTGGCAGGGCTTTGATAAGTGTGTACTCTCGGACGGTTCAAGTAGGCTTCTAGAAGTCGGGCTGCATTCGGTCGTTGCTCAATGAAGTCATCATAAAGCGACTCTCCACATGCCTGTAGAGTATCAGTATTGCTAATCACAATTAGGAGATTAACACTTACACAAGTCCATCGAACGCGAACATGACCTCTCGGAACGGGCCGCTCAGGACCGACAGCATCTCGAAGCAGTTTGAATCCTTCATATACCTTGTCTGACAACGCACCAAATGCGAGGGCCCAGTACATCAACACCGGGTTGCGCATTCCGCTAGGTGCTGATCTGATCTCGGTTTCCGAAGGCAACACTATATCGCCAATACAATCTTCGTTCACCGGCTCAACAAAGTGGTTCATGGCAGGGTCTTGCGTATCCCCAATGTCTTGATCACCATTGCCTGGGTCCGAAACAACATCACTCAAAGTCTTCAAGGCTTCTCTGAGCGCCTCCGAATGACTCGCTTCTTGCAGCTCAGGCGAAGATTTTATATCATTATCATACACCTCACTCGGTGAATTCGATGATGATTTGTGGTTTCGCACCTTCGGTGGCCCTTTCCGCTGAGTCACTGGGGATACGTGGGCGGATCTTGTTTTGGGTACGTTGGTTTGTAACCGCAATCCATACTTGGACTTTGTGGGTACTTGGAGATCGTCTGCTGATGAATGACGGACGTTTCGGGGTTTTATCCTCCCGGCATATCTTACTGAATTCTGCCATGACCCATGGTCTTGGAAATTTCTGTCGGAATCCTTGGACTTGCGAGGTGATAGATGTTGAAACTGCCGCACGTTGGCCGAATTCGTGCCAATTTCATCAAACCAATCATCAATTTCAACGGTAGTTGAATTAGAGAGATTCTTGATAGATTTGTGAGCATCTGACCGTTTGAGATTCATGTTTGCGGTTCGGCAGTTTATACGGGGACGAGCCTTCTTCTCAACCCTTTTCCTAACTGGTCCAATAAGTGATAAGCCCCGAGTAGGTGTTTTGACAATGCTAGATACTGAACCTGATCGGCTTGGAATCAAGGACTCGCCAAAGGCCTGTTCCCCATCCACGTGCCGATCCATTGGGCGAAGATCGGAAATCAGGGTTTCCGCATCGCTCATGCCTTCTTCGGTGGTTGAAATTTGTACCAACCGCCTCCCTTCCAACCGCCTCGCATGTGATTCACCATTTGCACCAGATCCAGGAGTAATGGAATCTTGCGGCCGCCTGATACCATCTTCATTTGAAGTACCGATTTCACATATCGTGGCTCCATCGGCATGATTTATATCATTTAACGGCACAGAAAACGGTACAGAGTGAAGTTCGGCTGGCATAATTGCGGAGTCAAGCTCAGGGATGTTTGCTCGGGATCTGGTGGTGTCTGAACCCAGATCCACTTCAGCAATCTCATTCGAGTCGGTGGCGGATCCTTTCAAGAGTCGAACTACATAGCCTTTTCCTTTCTTCTTGATCTTGGCTTTGATATCGGCGAGACGCTTTGTCTGTGTGGACACTGTCGAATCACTCCGAGAAAACGATACATTCCAATCTGGTACAACTTTGTTGAGAAATTCAGGGGGCACATGGTCTAAATCGGCCCAGCCCTGTTTGTCCGAAAGTGGTGTCGTAGGTGGACTGGAAGTATCTCGCCTGGAATTTGCGTTATCCTTGGTAGCGCTATTGACTGTATTTGGAGGGTTGAACAGTGCACTCAAGAGCAATCCATCTGGTGATTGAAGCTTTGCACCAATGTCCAAGACAAGCTGAAATCGGCCTGGATTCTGAGCATCTTCCTGGAGTTTCAATGTAAATGGCACCGACTGCGTCTTTTCATACTGCGGAAGTGGAGCATCGCGTCCGTGGTCGACAGCCTCACGCTCATTGGTCGTTTGTGGAGACTGGTTGAAATGCAGTGGGACTGGGGAGGCTATTGTGGAAGCCTGGCGCAATGCGCTGTCAGCTATTAAACGTTCTTGCATGAACTGCAACGTTCCAGCCTTGCAACAGCCACAAAAAACCCTTCTATCGGAGCGTAATCGAGAAGTGGACTTACCATGTTGGCATAGCGTTCCCAGCGAAAAGCAGGAACGGAAGCCTGAGGGGCACAGAGAAGGACGAGGTATACACATTTTTGACCGGTGAGCACTAAAAGCGAGTGGATGGTGAGAAGGCTGCAGGCAGCTGCTGCGGCCGTTCGTGCACTGCCACCACCTCCTGCAGTGTGACGGACAAGGCTGCTGTGTTGCAAGGCTGATTGGAGATTCCTACAAGACAGGAGCCTGTTGAATACTGCGCACCTTCCACATCAAAACTTCTCGTGCTCTTGAACATGTTTTATTAGCTTTCCTGGATTTGCTGTTGTACAAGCTTTGCAAACTTGGCATATGAGCGAGTTCCTGGTTATGCGACGCCATTGTGCCGTTGCCGGCTGAATTGCGAACATCGAAAAGCCGTGGACAAGGTAGATGTGCTCATGGCGATATCAAGTTGGATGTGAGATAGAACAGGTCAGCGACAGAGACTATGCGCAAACAATGGAACCGTCGAAAAAGCGAGATGAAGTTGAGATATGCTTCGTGGCTGTCAGAATGGTGGACAGACAGTCGTGTCGCTCTTTCCCGCCCTCGCCAACATAACAACACCAACATTAACACCACGCGCCATGGTCCTAACCTTATTGCCCTGATGTAACCTTCTTTTCACGACCTGTTCGGCATAATAGCTTCAGTTATTCCAGGCACCAAGGACTTGGCTAAACTTATTCTGCAGTTGCTTGATCATGTGCGCTTGGTGGTCTGCTCGCCTAGTCCGTAGACAGCTTCTCTTCCGCACCTCGGCACGCTTCCGACATGGCTATTTGCTCACCTCAGCACACAAACTGACATCGCTCGGTCTATAAACCACCGGCTTCCCCGCAATAACAGACGATCCCTCCTGTCCACTATTTCTCCGTCTTGCGGCCTCGAGATTCCCCGCCATTGGGAAACGCGGGATGGACGCGAGTCAAGAAAATGCATCATGTATCCTAGGGTGATCATGACGTTACAGGACATGTTCCGTGCTTTTGGCCTGTTCAAGCGCCAGGAACATGGCCCAAAGCGGATATTTTCACCAAGAACGACCGTTATTGTTATGGGAAGTGAGCATTGGCGATGCTATATATAGCATTGTTTGTTCTCTCTCGCTTTCTGGTCATCTTGCAACAGCTCAAGCCGTCAAGATGCGTCTCTCAACCCTTTTCCTGTCATTGATTGGCGTGGTCTCCACCGCTGCCTCTGCGCTTCCTAAACGCCAGACCACACAACCCACTTTCTCCCGCAATGTTGTCTTCACCCCTCCAAGAAATGCTGGCTGGACTGATCCAAGTGTCCTCTATGCCCGCAGTGCACAGCTTGCCGACGGCTCCTTGCTCGCAACTTGGGAGAACTATTCCCCCGAGCCACCAAAGGTGTACTTTCCCATCTTCAAGTCTTCCGACGGCGGCCTCACATGGAGAGAAATCTCGCGCGTCCAGGACACCCAGTATGGCTATGGTCTGCGGTACCAGCCTTTCATCTACGTCTTACCCGAGAGCATTGGCGGCTTCCCGGCCGGAACAGTTCTGGTTTCAGGCTCAGCCATCCCCACGGACCTCTCCAGCACCCATATTGAACTTTACGCATCTCGAGACTCTGGACTGACCTGGACCTTCGTCTCTCATATTGCTGCTGGTGGTGAAGCTCGTCCCAACAACGGCTTGACACCTGTCTGGGAGCCCTTCCTGATGTTGCACAACAAGAAGTTGATCTGCTACTACTCCGATCAGCGCGAGAACGCCACCTACGGCCAGAAGATGGTCCACCAGACCACTACGGACCTCAAGACATGGGGCCCAGTTGTCAACGATGTCGCATACTCCAAGTACACTGACCGCCCAGGCATGCCCACTGTTGCCAAGCTGCCAAACGGACAATTTATCATGACTTACGAATACGGTGGTGGCCCTGCTATCCCCAACTCCTACCAGTTCCCCGTCTACTACAAGATTGTGTCCGACCCCGAAAAGTTTGGTCAAGCCCAAGGCATCAGCCTCAAGGCCACTGACGGCACTATTCCCAGTGGTTCGCCGTATGTGGTGTGGAGTTCGGTCGGTGGTGCAAACGGCACGATTATTGCAAGCGCACACAGCGGTTCGCAGGTCTTCATCAACAGGGGCCTTGGACAGGGCAACTGGATCAAGATCGACACACCTGAGGCCAGCTCCTACACAAGGCACCTTCGCGTCCTCAAGGACCAAACCAAATTGTTGCTCATGGGCGGAGGACAGCTGCCACCCAGCACCACCAACTCAATCACCGTTACCGTTGTTGATATCAGCAAGTGGTGATTGCGCGGTGTGCTGTGAGGATTCCCTGTACATTCTTCGTCAAATTTTGGATCTCCTATAATTACAGACCATTGTGGATACCATAAGACTACATAATGATAAATATAAGAGGTATATCATAGCTTGTAGTGAATGTGAAACCATAGTGAGCTTTCAACTTTTGACCGTGCCTAAATGTGTAGACATAATGATGACTGCCTATTTCTGTTGAACTTGCTCTTTTATTTGACTTGGATTTCCCAACGCATACAATCTTCCTGATTTGCGAAACAACATGGGCGACCCATTTCCTGTATACTGACTGAACAACTTATGGAAAACATAATAAGCGACAGGAACAACGACATGCGACTGCTAAGAGCTTTGAATCGAATTTTTTTCCAGCTGTAATTTCCGAAGGAGCAATAGTGACTGTCTTCTATGATAATACATGAAACCCGAGTTAAGCTGACACGAAGGCTACGCTTATTGCAATCTTACGCTCTTTTGTCCAATGCTGAGCCCGCACATGCAGTTCCGTGACATGGACAATGCTCAATCTTTGCTTTATTATTAGAATCGATACGCGGAGCCAATGACAGTGTTGGGTCAGGCCTGGAACCTCGGAATACTTCAGACGATCCAACACACCCCCACCCACCCACTAGCGCCGGGCCGACCATTCTTCCTAAGCGAGACCACCGTAGGCGCAAATTGAGCATCGCGGTAGTCATTGACACTTGCAGCAACCACCGTCAAGCCCGAACGCCTCCTCTCCCCCCAAACCGACAATCTCTTCTCCAATACCGACAAAATGGGTGGTGTTACCGTCAAGGACATTGAGTCTCACACTTTCGTGAAGGCGTACGCCGCTTTCTTGAAGCGTCAGGGAAAGCTCCCCATGTAAGCCTCTTTTCCCAAATCAGTACAGAGAAAGGACCAAAGCGCTAACTTTTTTCGCAGTCCAGGTTCGTCTCTATCCAGCGGGTGAAGGATGAAAAGCCTGAATCCCGTAAATGGGGGATAAACCTCAGTTCGCTGACTCTTATCTACAGGCTGGGTTGACACTGTCAAGACAAGCCGTACGTATAAACCCAACATCTTGAGAACGAGAGAAGAAATCAGTCGCGCAAACGGTCGTCTAACATTGCGCAGACTCCAATGAGCTCCCTCCCCAGGACATCGACTGGTTCTACGTCCGCGCCGCTGCCATTGCCCGCCACATCTACATGGTACGCGAAACCCTCGCACACACGGATTGAGGAGAAGAAGGACAAAAATACTGACGAAGTGAACAGCGCAAGACTGTCGGTGTAGGCCGCCTCCGCAAGGTCCACGGATCCACCAAGAACCGCGGCTCCCGCCCTTCCCACCACGTCGACGCTTCTGGCTCCGTTGACCGCAAGGTCATGCAGGCTCTCGAGAAGATTGGTGTCCTTGAGCAGGACGAGGACAAGGGTGGCCGCCGCATCACACAGTCTGGCCAGCGTGATTTGGACCGTATTGCGCAGACCACCCTCGAGGCCGAGGAGGAGGACGACGAGTAGATGTTTCGCACAGGATTGTGATGCGCGGGCAAAAAACACGGCTGTTCTAAGCATTTGATTGCGGGGCGGTTACGGATCTACACGGTTTTACGGCTTATGGCGTTGAAGACATGACTTCGCTGGGCCTGCTTTTAGCCTAGGACAACCAATGACACTGGGCTTGGGCCTGAAAAGCAACATGATACCCCTCACTCTTGTTTGGTGCTCTCTTCCTCTCTCTATTCGATTTGCAGTGAAATGATGATCATGACGACGTCCTTTTGCAATTCCTGTCATTGCTCAACAACTGCAACTTTTCTCTTTGTCTACGTTTTTAGTGCATGAAATTTCTACGGATACAAAAGCGGCTGCCACTGACACAGCTTTTAAAAAAGGTCAGTCATGGCGCCGTGACTAGCATCGCCTACTAGCCTTGCATACTTGGCCAGCACACCCCTCGTAACTGGCATGCTAGGCGGCACCCACGCCTTCAGCCTCTTCTCAATCTCCTCATCGCTCACGTCCATGTCTATCCTGTTCTTTTCCGCATCAATCGTGATCATGTCGCCATTCTGCACAACCGCAATGGGACCGCCTACAGCCGCCTCGGGGCAAATGTGACCCACGATGAAGCCGTGGGATGCGCCAGAATACCTACCGTCCGTGATCAAGGCGACATTGGTCAGCTTGGCACCCATGATGGCAGCCGAAGCTTTGAGTTGTTCCGGCATTCCGGGGCCACCCTTGGGACCCTCGTAGCGCACTACTACTACTACATTCTCGCCGTGTGGAATCTTGCCTTGGTTGAGCGCGCTGTCCAGCTCGTGCTCTTTGTTGAAGACGATGGCTTTACCCGTGAACTTCAAGCCTTCTTTTCCTGTAATCTTTGCTACGGCACCAGAGGGTGCGAGGTTACCGCGGAGAATCTCAATATGGCCAGTGGGTTTGATTGGGTTGCTTAGAGGGCGAATGAGGGTCTGATCTTGGGGCAAAGATGGGTATCCTTCGATGTTTTCCGCAAGTGTCTTTCCGGTCACAGTGGGAATGGAACCATCGAGTAGCTTAGCAGCGACGAGCAATTTCATAACAGAGGGCATGCCGCCAATCTCGAAAAGATCGGCTGCCATGTAACGGCCACTGGGAGCCAGATCAGCGAGAAAGGGTATTTTGTTTGAGACGCGTTGGAAATCGTCGAGAGTCAAGGGAACACCCGCTGTGCCGGCCATGGCGAGAAGATGTAAGACGGCATTTGTGGAGCCACCCAGCACCATCATCATGACAAGGGCGTTTTCGAAAGATGCTTTTGTGAGAAGTTTGCGCGGTGTAATGTTCTTTTCCATGCACACACGGATGGCAGCAGCAGCTTTGGCACATTCGCGCATCTTGGCGGGAGAGGTCGCAGGCGTAGTGGACGAGTTGGGTAGAGTAAGGCCCATTGCTGTGATTTGTTAGTGTATCGTAATAGTAAATAAGGCGAGTGAGAGCCTGCTGTACCTTCGATTGACGTAGACATGGTGTTTGCCGTGTACATGCCACCACAAGCGCCTGCACCGGGGCATGCATTTCTCTCAATGTCTTCCATGATCTCATCTGGTGAGAATTTACCCTCACTCGCGCTCTTCAAGTTTTTATATATGTATGCGCCGTGGCTCTCATAGCATGTAGAGATGTTGATGGGCTTCTTGAGTGTCTCTGAGTAGCCCGGCATTATGGAACCGCCATAAACCATGAGCGAAGGGCGGTTGTGTCTTGCGAATGCCATAATGACTCCTGGCATATTCTTATCACAACCCGGAATCGCTATGCAAGCATCGTGGTGCTGGGCACATGTAACGGTCTCAATGCTATCAGCTATTATTTCACGCGTTTGGAGAGAGAAGCGCATTCCTAGTCGAGATCAGTTCAAAGTTCGCAGGGTGTGGAGGAGTCATGATACCTTCGCCACCCATTGTGATGCCATCCGAGACACCGACGGTGTTGTACTGCCACGCAAGCATATTGTCGTTCTGGACATGCTTTTTGATTTCTTTGCCCAGGTCCAGCACTGTGGAATGTCAGCATGTTATGCGCACACGATTGACCGCTGCGCCTTAATGGTCTCGCCACACGTGGGCTAGATTAAGGAACTTACAGTGCATGCTGCAGTATTGTTAGTTTGTGGTCAAGCCATTTTTTTGCATGAGGGTCAAACGAACTTGCATGGATTGCCTTCCCACCAAACAGATGCTATACCAATATGAGGCTGCGTCTTCATTGCTTCTCGTGAGGGTACCCCAGCGGCATAGAGCATGGCCTATTATTTGGACTATGTCAACTACTGATGGAATTCAAATGGTGATGATAGCGAACCTGTGCTCCAGGGAAGTTATGGCCCGTGGTGAGCGTGGACGAGTACTTGTTGAGTGCTGGCTGGCCATTTTCATTTTTCGCATCGTCTGGAAGATGTGGAAAACTGAGAAAACGCGGCTCCTCTGGCTCCCGTTGCTTCTGAAGGTTCTTAGGGTCCATTTTTGAGGCAGCCGAAAACGGGGTCTATGTCAGATATGGCAATTGAACGGGTAGGCGAAAAAGGAAATCACGGCGAGAGGGAAAATTGACAGAAAGGAAAAAGGTGTGGTATTGCGGGAGCGAGATAGTGAGGATAGCTAATCGATACCGCGTGTACCCAGGTACTCCCGGAACAGGGGCACTGGCACAGTCTAACATGGCTAGGGCTGTCCAAAGTACTCGCGTCGACGTATATGTGGGCCATGGTCATGCCTCTATCAATGTCGTCTGGGCCCAAACCATGGCGGAAGGAGGGGTATCGTGGAGCATGACAAGTGCGAGTCCAGGGCCGGAAGGCTACGCGTTGTGTGTCGTCCATGGACAGTGAGCAGCAGCCAATGCGACCGGACGAGATGAAGCCGAACTATGGCGATTGGGCCAGGCAGTATGCTAGCGGATCCATGGTCGCGCTGGCGTTGGGGTGGTAGCGTGAAAGGTTTCCTCCGCGGTATCAAGTCCCGAAGTGCGCCACATCGGACTTGTAGCGTGGCCTGGCGCCTGGGCAGTGGGTGCGACATGTGCTGGCCCACCGCCAGAGTGCGGCGCTTTCAACGGCGCAATGCTACCTGTCTTCTGGAAGGCCGAGGTCCGCCACCGCTTTTGCGGCTCGGCTAGCAATGGCATTGACAGGCACACTTGGTGTAAAGTATATGTAAGGACACTAGCATAGTGGTGCGTATATAGACCAAGTGCGGAGTTTCTGAATGCAAATGCTCTGCTACGTAAAGTAGAATCCATGTCGGATCAAAAGTGGGACGTGGCCCAGAAGGAATACCGTGTGTTTGTCGGCATCTTCCCTCGGGATCCGCTAGAGTCAATGGGTAAATCCAACGCGCGCCTGTGCAAATCGAGGTAGGCCGACCTACACACTCTCCCTGGTGCTCATCGGGGAGTGAAAAAAAACCTGTCGGGACAGATGGCTTGAGGGCGTGGGGGAGGAGCTGTAGTGACGTCACGATGGATCTGGCAAGTGGAGGGTCGGACGGGAAGAACAGACTGTGGGGGTGGATTGATAGGAGGAAGAGAAACAAGAAGAAGAAGGTGACGATAAAGAAGAGGGAGACGGTGAAAAGCTGCGATAGGGCTGAGGGTGGTGGCGTCCAGTCAGCCCTGCCAAGTTGCACGATGCAAGGCAGAGGCGTCGCTCCCGCATCGGGGCTACGAGTGGCAGGAGCGCGCACCCAACCGCCAACGTCATTTTGCCCATTGCCCGCCAGAGTCACAACAACCACCAAAACTCTGCAGTTAGGGAAACAACCACCACCACAACCACAACACCACGGCTACCACCATCGTCACCCATAAACAAGTCATCTCCGGTGGCTGCCGGCCCTACGTAGATTCTCCATCCAGCAAGCTCCATCCCAGCCTCGTCATCGCCCGCCCGCAACTCCATCTCGCGTAATTCCTTTTGGACAGGATGCCCATCCACATCGCACAATTCGCCCAGCTGCTGATGACGAGGCATTGCTAGCCCTGTATTTGTTGTTCGTCCAACGTGCCCGCCTCTCCCCGTACCAAACTTTCCAGGCACCGGCTCGTTCCCGCCAGCAGTTGGGGCACGAGTCCTTCTATCCGATTCCATTGGCTGGCCCCAGATCGCCCGTCACCTTGCTGCACGCCAGCACTCCCACGGCCCGTTGGATATACATCCACCGTCGTTCCACGCCAAAGTCTATGGAGCCTCATTCGCGTCCTTGCACGGCCCAGAATGGCACGTTGCGTCTTCCACAGGCTCTGCTGTCACTCCTGAAGACCACTCTTGCAGGCTCGCCCAGCCATCCAGTGACACAGACCGACTCCCACCTGGTCCCCTGGAACGCCGCGGATATAAACAAGTCGGCCTACCGTTTCCTCAACCTGCTCACTCCCTTCGTACTCCGCCGCGGCAATTGGTCTTTGACTCCTGCGGGCATGGTTGAGTTGACAGCGCTGTGTGGAGTCGCGTCTGCACTTTGGATCCGGAGGAAAAGGGGTGGTAAGACCAGGCCTGGGGGAACTCAGCACGCATCCGAGGCCGCAACCGGTACGTTGGTTTTGTCAGATTAACAACCCGTCCATCTTATCACGTGGCCCAGCTAATGCACATGTCCAAGTACTAAGCTTATCGCGCTAACGCTCCATAGATGATGCTGCCATTACCGACCCAGCTCTGATAAAAAAGTACTCTACAGTCAAGTCCTACACCGTGCCCTCTACTGGCTTCACTTATCCTCAACTGCGTACCTTTTATCGTCCACACCACCAAGAAAGCAAGCTACCAAAGGACCCCTGCCCGATTCCCCTTCTGGTCTTCGTCCATGGTCTTGGCGGATCTATTGCCCAATTCAGTCCTATCCTTATCAGTCTTTCCAATCTAGCACCATGCTTGGCCCTAGACTTCCCTGGATGCGGTGCGTCGACTTTTGAGCCAAAGGCATGGGAAGCCTACACGACCGAGGCCCTTGTACATCTTCTTGCAGTCGTCATTGAAGAACATCGTGCAGTCGACGAAAGACAGCCTGTCGTTCTGGTCGGCCATAGCATGGGCTGCTCTCTGGCTGCCCTACTAGCCTCCCCTACCTCTCCACATGCCCATCTTCTATCGCAATACGTCAGCGGCTTGATTGCTATATGTCCACAAGCCGAGCCTCCGACTGAGAGAGAAGTCAAACAACTGCAGTACCTCTCGTCAGTGCCACCAGTCGTATTTGACCTGGGAAGACGCTGGGATCGGAAAGGGGGTATTGCCAGCAAGAGTGTTTTACGCATGACAGGAGCAGATGCAGACGTGGAGACGAGAAGAATGCAACTGCTTTTCAACCAACAAAGCCGAAGTGCTGTCTGGCAGAGGATGGCACGAGGCATGTGCCCTGATTACTCCGATGGCTCACCAAAGGGCGGCCTTCCCGGAAGACAGGTCTGGAGTGGCCTAAACATGCCCGTGTTCCTCACTGCCGGCGAGATGGACGGCGTGACACCAGCTTCCAATGTCAAACGCGTCGTGGAATTCTTGGGGAGAGATGTTAGTGCCATTGAGCCACCAAGCGAGAGGGCTAGTCTACCTATCGCAGCTGCACCATTTGTTCCTGCCTCTATCATATCAGAGGTGCCCACGAAAGAGCACAAAGATTCGGGCATCGACGCAAGGGACTTGCCACGATGCGAAGAAGACAACAAGACGATTGAATCAACTTCTGTATCCACTGCTGACGGCAGTCTTGTGTCCACTGAGGATGGTACCAGAGAGGGAAGTATGACCACTGCAGACGGTCCGCTTCTCTCGGGAACTTCAACGTCATCGTCAACCACGCCATCACCTCACCCACGCAAGCTTGTTGTTAAGACAGCAATCATGCCCAAGCCAGCAGCTCACTCTCTACTCTTTGCTCCATCTACCTCGCGTATCATAGCCGGGCTTATAGGTACTTTCTTTGCTGACTACATCGATCCTCGTCTATCATTGGCTTGGCAACTCAGTTACCTGTCGACCGAAGGCAAATGGGACGTGAAGAATCTCGAAAAGTGGAAGGCAGTGCAGCCGGTGTCTGCACCCATTGCCAACGTCTTCCGGGCGATGAAGACGCTTAGAGAAGTCGACGAGGAGCATACGCCCAAGGTGCTTACAAAGAAGTGGGCTGGCAAGCTCTGCGCCGTTATTGACATCTCGCACGACAATCCCGTCTACGACCCCAAAGGCTTGGAAGAGGGCGGTATTCCGTACCACAAGTTCCCGACTGTGTCGAAGCAGCCTCCACAACCCGCCGAGGTCAAGGAGTTTTTCGATCTCGTCGACAGAATTCGAGCTGAACAGCGGCCCGGTCTTATTGGTGTCCATTGCCACTACGGCTTCAACCGCACTGGCTTCTTCCTAGTGTCGTATCTGATTGAGCGTCTGGGATACAAGGTCGAAGATGCACTGGATGCGTTCCAGCAAGCGCGCCCACCGGGTATCCGCCACTCGCATTTCATTGACGCCTTGTATGTTCGCTACTGCCAGGGTCTCAAGAGAGCACCAACTCTGTGAAGGGTAGCCTTGTCATCAGATGCGTTGTTGCGGTGCTTTTTTTTCTTCTTCTTCTTTAGTCGATCCAACTTTTTTTTCCCTTCTTTGTTGTGTGCATTTTGTTAGCGTTTGGGTTCGGTTGGGGTAGGCTTCTTGTTGTATGAGTATAACCAATTCTCACAAAGGTTCCCCTTTTTTGTAATCGGTATTTTAGGTTGGGTATAGCGTAAGCGTTTTTGGCGTTTTTGGCGTTTTTTTCCTTCTTTTCTTCTCTTTTTTTTCTCTCGTTTGTACAATCGGGGGTCAGGTTCGGGGATGGGATTTCGGTATTTGTGTTATCAGGACACATACATATAGAGATTCAAGTCTATAATCATCACTATGGTTATCATTAGACACTTTGAGATTCGCGTCTTGTATGGTCTTTCTCTCTCTCTTCTCTGCTACAGAATCGCGATTACATGGCCTTCTTTACTTCCTCTCAGTTACTCTCGTTACACATGCCGTGTGGGGCATCCCCCATGTCTATTCGTTCAAACGTGTTAATCTAGCAACAACATCACCCATTATTCCAATAATTCTAGACAGAGAAGGACATTTGTTCAAAAGGTTGGAAACAATTCTTTTTTTTCTTTCATATCTAAATTCTCTCTCTTTCTTTGCAAACAAGTTTCGTTTACTAGGGGCAATGAACAACCCTTCTTCTTCTAACGATTTGTTCTGCCCTAATCGCCACCGTCTGTCTTGTTTTTTTCCCTCTCCTTCTTTCTTTCTTTCCTTCGCCCGTTTCCGTTTCCGTTTCCGTTTCGGGGTGTTTTTTTTCTTTGCTTTATCCCGCGGAAAACCGGAGGGAGAGGGGAAAAAAAGGAAAGAAGGGGGGTTCCGCCGTTTGATTTACTTTGACGGGTGCTCATGTTTGTGAGATGAGTTTAGTTAAAAAGAGACAGGGTGAGAGAGAAAGAAAAAAAGGGGGTGTTGGCAAGATGGAAGATGGGATGAAAAGAAAAATAGTACAACTACATTGATTGGGAACCGTGGGTGTGTTCTTCCTCTTCTTCCTCTGATGAACATGATGATGATGATGACGATGACGATGACGATGATAGTAATAATGATAATAGCGACAATGATGGTGGAACGAGAGAAGAGAAAAGTAAATAGGAAAGAGAACATTGATATCCTCCACATCGTCGTTCATCATTCAAAAGTTTCCCCTGCCAGATCATGATATAGCTTTTGATCCTAGCCTCGTGAAAATCCTTCCCTTCTTCGATCAACCCGTTTTTTCCCCTTTCCCTTCGCCTTGATTCTTTTGCTCCTTTTCCTTCTTCCATGGTAAAAAAAAGAGTAGCTTTAAATAAGCTCGTACATGGCCCCGTTAAGAAGTTTAGTCTGGTCTTGAGACTTTCCACCGCAGCGCCTCGCAATGCATTCGTCAATGTAGCTAGAAATAAGACAAGAGGTTGAAGCGAATGTGTTGAAAAATAAAGCAAGTTTTGAATGCTCGTGTACTGCGTAGGCCTTGTGGTCAGTCAGAGTTACTACAATTTCTTGGTCCTGGCGCTTGGGCTGATGGCACAGCCGTATGGAGGGGTGGCTGGCCCGGGTCCCCAGGTGGTTGTGAGGTGGGTTGGAATACCCTGCTCGAATGTCTGTACACTCACTCTCATAGTAACGGGAGCAAGCTGTCATGTCGAAGTCACAACCTCTGTTCTTGAGACTGGGGTTCCGGGGTCGTCTCTACACCCTCCATAGCGCCACCCTCCTTGCTTCGTGGAAAGACAGTGCCCTCGGTAGTAGTGGGTGTTCCAAGCCTTTCGGTGGGGTACTTTTCGAGGTCCTTGTGGCTAGTTGAGAAGGTCGATATGACCGGAGTATAGTTCTGAGGATGATCAGCCTGTGTGGGCGTCTTGGCCTCTGGCCCAGCAGAAACGGGGCTCAGCAGACTTTCTGGTCCGTGCTTGCCTTCGGGAAGTTGTAATTCGGGTTGCGAGTGGATAGCACCTACTAGGCCGTTCCAGCCTCCTTCGATGTCGCGGAGCAGGCGCACATACTCCTCCGGTACTAGACCGCTCTCCCCGGTCTTTGGGTCTTGGGCCACTAGCCAGCCTTGGCCATGTCTATAGGATACTAGGATGACCTGGCCTTCTACCAACGGTAGTTCATTATCATTTTCACGGGCAAAGTCGAACAAGGCAACAGCCTTGCCGTGCATCTCTTCGTCGGGTGAAGCAATGGTAAACTGGTAGTCGCGTGAAAAGCGGCTGTCGTCGTATATGTAGTCTTCAGGCTCGGACATGTCGTCGTCTGAATCGTATGGCGGGCCTTGTTGGAGGGCTGTATCGGCGTCGGCATATGCGCGTGGGGGCAGGGTTGTCGCAAAGTGGGAATCACGTCGTGACGCACCTTCGGGTACGCCGAGTCGGGATGACTCTGGCGGGTATGTAATGTACTCGCTGCTGGAACCATTAGCAGTATCGTCGTTGCCGAATTGGCTGCTGTCGCCATTGAGGGGCAGAATGGAACTGCGCCGTTGTTCTTCCGGGTATCCTCTGCGCCCACGTGTGTGATCAAAATTGACAATGTTGGACTTGTGCTTCTTGTGCCGTGCGCCGTGGTGGCTAGTGACTACGGGGCTGGAGATATCTTCGTCCTCGCTGTATGGTGGGCCTCCATCGTACGAGGTTTGGGGGAGTTGTTCGCCTTCCTTCTCGTCCCACGACCCCGCCGACCAGCCGCTTCGTTCGTTGCGCCATGCTACCGGAGGTGGGTCCGAAAGTCTCCGGCTATGTTCGCTTGCGGGAGTGGATATGTCTGATGGCTGTTCTGGGAGGGGACCGTAGAACAGAGGATGGAGCGGGTCGTAAGCAAAGTCGCGCACCAGTGAGTAAGGTAGGCTCGAGTGGAAGATGGGAAAGGCGGTTGATTGCGGCCGTGAGCGTACCGACTGGTGGGTGTTTGATGTGTTTGAGATGTTTGAGAAGGTTGAGAGACGCTTGTTGAGGTAGGAGCTGGCGCGCTCCAGCTTGGCCTTGGAAGGCGGGGAGGTGACAAGTGGGGGTAGTGAGGTGCGGTTGACACCTGTTTGCGCAGCATTGGGGTCGCTACGTGGGGACAGGACATCGGCAGCCATATTTTGGTCAGGCTGATGTGGGCGCACTGCAGCCGGTTCCGTGGGTTTGTCTAGCCGTTGGGTGTAGACTGGCGTGTCTGGAGCGGTGCCGGTGTCGGTCATGCGCAATAGATTTGGGGGGTGGGGTGGTTAGAGTCGAGACTGAATAGTCAGCAGTGGTCTATATGAGTGTGCTGGAAGCGCAGCAGAAGGCAGTGTAGCGGGCAGTGCGGGCAGCAAGGCGGCGCACCAGACGGATAAAGTTGGCGTAATCGGGAATGAGCACACGAGAGCACCGGCGCAATTGGCACTGGGTGGGCCAGGTCGCGAGGCGCACAAGCAGGGCTAGAGCGAGCGAGCCAGAGATGAGGGCTCTGAGGGTGGTGGAGCGGGAGCGGTTCTGGTTCTGGGAGATGATGGCGGCGCAAGTGGATGCAGATGGGCGTGTGGATGGAAGAAGGCGGGCGATGGCCAATGGGTTGGCGGGCGCACTCGAGGGCTTGAGAGAGGCGGGCGTGGCGATTGGGGGCAGGGTCCGTGTGAGAGAAGAATGTTTGGGCAGTGAAGCGGCTGGAGAAGGAGTGGATGGGGTTGTGGGGGTGCAGGCACAGGACTGGCGCTAGGGCTTGGCAGTGAAGGATGCAACAGTTGCGCGCCTGACGGGTAATGTCGAGGCTTCGGGAGTGTCTCGGCAGGGAGCGAGGACACGGCGTCGAGAGCAGTCAGTGGAGCGGCGCGTGGTGGACGAAGGCGGGTTGAGGATGGATGCTCTATTTTTGGGACGGGCTGGCGGGGGACATGCTAGACGCCGGTTGTGCGTTTCAGAATCAGTCCAAGGCGCTGCGGGCGTACAGAGCCATGTGGTGGTGGTAGTGGTAGTAGTAGTGGTAGTGGACGTGGGGAGGGTGGAATGGAGCAGAGGAGCAGCGCAATGGTTCATGCCATGTAGTAGATAGTAGCAAGTAGTCGGGAATAGTAGGTACTAGCTACTAGCATCGACGAGGGGCTGTGTCTGTGTGCGAGTGTCCGTGTGCGTGCGTGTGAGTTGTTGCGTGTGTTCAGCCTTGGAGGCGTGCAAACCGCTCCGGCTTAGCCCTGTTGGCCTCTAGATTGTTTCAGGCGGTGGGGGCTAGCTGCTTGCAGACGACCCACGCCGACTGTGCTTGCACCACAGCGAGGAACTTCCCTGGCCAGCCTTCACCGTACGCTGTCACGCTCCCAAAAGGCTCCCAAACGCATAACCTGTCCGGCCTGCCTGTGTTGCTGAATCTCCATGTCCCTTGTCCGCGCACGCTGTCTGACAGGCAGGCCGAGCCGTGCCGTGTCCTGATCGGGCCACAGACGCTCTGCTTGCGCAATACCTACCCACCACAATCTCACCACGCCCAACAAGCCCGCCCGGCCGAGAGCGACAGCATCCAGGAACAGGAAGCGAGGCCCATGTCCATGGCACCGCGCCGGGCCCACGGCATACTATACTTACTTACTCGGGTGCCATGACATACCTGCATGTATGTAGCATCATGGTACCTATACTAGCAGTCCTTAGCATCTAGTATTGGCAGTAGCATCAGGCGTGACAGTCGTAGTAGGTAGCAGCCTTCGTAGCCCCTCCATTGCGCCGTTTGGGTGTGCGTGACGCTTGGTACTCGGCCTGCCCCGCCTGCGCGTAGCCTCGAGCACGGCCCGCTTAGTCAGCCCCGCTACTCCAGCACAATGACTTGCTGAGCTCGACAAAGCTTGCTCCTCCACTGGCTTCGTGCCTTTCACAAGCAAACATCCTCCACCACCACCACCACCACCACCACATCAACCCCCCTTTGACCTCACCCTCATCCCTCTCGTGTCGGGGGCTATGACCTCGACCACGACTCCTGTATACTGTACGTCTCCAGTCCCCCCTCGCTCGCCTCCCGCCCCTTCCTGCTGCCCGCCCTGCCTGTGAGATGATGAACACATATTGGAGCTGTCCTAGGCACTAGCCTTTGAGGACTCTCAATAATAATATACACTGAAAATTCTGAACCTCGCGTGATCACCGCCACTGTTGCTGCATACAAGCATGTAGAACCACGACTGACTTTGGTGAAGAATTTGCAGAGCTGCGCCCAAAGACGCGACGAGAAAAAAAAATATGTCCGCCGACCCACGACTACGCGCGAGGCAGCAACAGCAACAGGCAACGCCTACAGCTGTGCCTCCACCTCCTCCGCCCCCGCCCGCCGAACCCCAGCCTATGGGCATGGACGGTGCCGGCGACGCCCAGCCAGACCAGAATGTAGTCCCCGACAACAGTTTCAAGCTAAAGTTTTGCACTGTGTGTGCTAGTAACCAGAACCGGTATGTACATGCTTTGCTCTTCCCACTCCTTGACCCTAACTCGGTCAGCTCCATGGAAGCTCATCTCCAACTGGCCTCAGCCCATCTCCCAACTATCAGTTTCGGAACCGGCTCCCTCGTGCGTCTGCCCGGCCCGACAATCACCCAGCCCAATGTGTATCACTTTAATAGTACCACCTACCGTGCCATCCATGATGAGCTCGCCGAGCAAAACGCCGCTCTCTACACCAACAACGGTCTGCTCAACATGTTGGGTCGTAATTTAAACATCAAGGGTTACCCTGAGCGCTTCCAGGACTGGGTCCCCGGCAAGCCTCGCCTTGACCATGCCGAGGACAAGGGCTCCCAAGGTACTGAGGCTGGAGTAGTTGACGTCGTCATCACCTGTGAAGAACGTTGTTTTGATGCCGTGCTTGAAGATCTACATAACAAGGGCGGAAAGCTCAACCGGCCTGTCCATGTCTTCAATGTCGACATCAAGGACAACCACGAGGAAGCCCTTGTTGGCGGCAAAGCTATTCTAGATCTTGCTCTCAGTCTGAATGAAGCTGCTGCAAAAGAGCGTGAGATATATGGTGACAGCGGATGGCAGTCTGGTGGCGGTGCTGCTCGTTCGGGCTTTGACGAGCGTGTCCCCGAGATTCTCGCGACATGGCAAGAGCGCTGGCCAAACATGCCCGCGCTCTGGAGTCTTGCATGGTTTTGATTTCACCTCATATGACGTTTGATCTTTTGTTTTCTTGCTAGCTACACAGCCTTTGATACCCATTTGCATAGCGAGGTGTTCGGAGTATCACATTGACCAGTTGATGATCGTATAATCACGGGATATACTACTACTATGAATAAACTACATGGTCTTACGCAGATACCACTACCATTGGTCCACACATCAACCATTCCCGTGATGATCGTGTGATTGCCAAGTGACACATAACGCCTTGATACGACGACAATATTCAATGCACGTCTCTTCACACCGTTGTGGCTTGGTCGCACGGCCTGCAACTAGCCACGTGTGCGTGCAAACACCGCCTCACATGAACATGTTCTACTCGCCGGTAAAAGAAGCAAACCCAACGCCAAACACCTTCCAACGCTGCGACTAACCCTGAAACTTTACCTACACATCTACTCGCCTCCCTTTTTTTTCCCCTTTGTATCCATCACCCACAACCATGAATCATCAACTCTCAATAACCATGTTGATCGCAATGCTCCTCCTACCACTCTCCTTTGTCTCGGCCTCCATCACAGACACACCCAAAACACCGCAGAAGAAAGCCTGTGGTTGGGAACTCATGCAGAACCTCAGTGCGTCTCTCTCCCTCCCCACACAGCATCGCCCGGCCTCAACCAAACCAAATCAACCAACCAACTTACCCCTTCTAACCACCCCACTACTACTACTACTACTACTACTACTACTACTATCTTTCTATCTATTATTCAACCTAGGTCTTCTTCTTTTTTGGCTTTCTAACACCCGCACAGACATATCCATAGCTAGTCTGGGTACCTTGTACGCGAAACAGACAGGCGACCGTTCCCTGTGCACCCGCCAGGATGACGGCTCAGAGTACTGCACTTGCATTTATGAGTGTGGGAATGGGGTTTGGAGTTTTCGTTATCAGAGCAAGAGACATCAAGACGACAATGATGATGATCACGAGGATTATGATGAAGAGGAAGATCAAAATACAACTGATGTTAAGGACTGGACTTGGCAACAGGGTTGTGGAAAGTATTGTCATGCTGGTGTGTGTGATGGTCAGGTTTAAGTAGATGATACTATACTATACCACTACTAGGTTTCAACCCATTTTTTTTCTCTTGGGTTATAGTACAGCATGAGGTCATGTCCTATTTCTCTTTTTTCTACGCCGTGTCATTGTTTATTGTGGGACTATATAGGACAAGGTGTTATGTTATTAATAAAATACTAGTTGTTATGATAGATGTTAAGTACTATCATTATGACTATGACTATGACGGATAAACTATAACTAGCTATGGGGGGGAAACTCAAACTTAACCCCGTGACAATAGGAAGAATCCTAATTGGGCAAGAAGAAAAAAACATATCTGACTAGCTATAATGTTCAACTCGCAAAAAAAGAACGACGTTGGCCAGATTCGAACTGACGCTCCCGAAGGAACAAGATTTCTAGTCTTGCGCGATAACCACTCCGCCACAACGCCTTTTGGTTATTCGATGACGTAAGCTAAAATTACCATGTATATTAATACTGTCGGTAGATGGAAACAAGCAGAGAAACTACCCATCACCCTACTCTTCCCCTAATCGAAAAACTGTCCCCTTGCCTTTGTTCCCTTGATCATTCACAGGTACAACACCAATACCCCATCTCCACTGATACGACACACAGCATATTTTTAGCGTTAGGCCTTCCATCTCAACGGTATCTGACGTGTGTACCGAAGAGGCTTTGTCTTCGGGCCTTCCGGTCACCGCCCACCATGGCCCCTGCACAGCCACATCAACAGCTAAGCCTTATACTATGTGCCTGTAAACTATCCTACAGCCTTGCAACGGCTTTCGCAGTCTGTCTCTAGGTGAACATCTTCTGGTTGTTTGTTAATATCCCTATCATCTTTCTTCACGGTATACAAAGGCACGTTATTGAGCTCAGGGGCTGTCAGCATGGTGTATCGTGGCCGGCCGTCTACTGGATGCAAAAAATGTCGTGAGCGTAGAATTAAAGTGCGTACTAGGCCGTGAGCTCGGTCCATCTCAACTGCAAGACACTTACCCAAATGAAACCACAGTGTGATGAACGCCCCGGTGGCTGCGTCAAATGCTCAGATCGCCATTTCCAATGCCCAGGATACGATCGCAACATCGACAACTTCTTCCACGATGAAACAGCCAATGTTCAAGCAAAGGCAAAGAAAGCAAAGGCAAAATCTATTGCGGCCCGCGAAGCTCAGGATGAGATCGAGGCGCGTAATCTGCGGGAGGCTTACCTACACATAATAGCCCAACAATCACCAACACCGGCCGTGACAGCGTCACTAATCGATCAAGGAATTTCCTTTTTCATGTCCTACTATACGCTTGGTGTTGATCAGCCGCCTATACAGTCTGATGAGTACTCGAAACATCTGTCGACGCATGGCTTCCACCCATTGGTCTCCACATCCATGACAGCTCTGGGCATTGCTGGAATAGCAAACCTGTACAGGGATCCTCGCTTAAAGCGTGAAGCCACTCGCTGGTATTTGGATGCCATCAAGATGACCAACGCTGCCATATCGTCGCCTACAGCTGTCACGGCCGATAGCACCCTCGCATCTATCAATCTCTTGGGCATGGTTGAAGCGACTGCCAATGAGACGAGCCTACAAGGGTGGAGCAACCATGTCGAAGGTGCTGCCTCCCTCATCAAGATGCGAGGCATGGACCAGTTTTCAACACCAGCCGGTCAGCGCATGTACCTCCATACTGTTGGGCTTCTTACTATGAACTGCATGGGAAAGGGCATGCCCCTCCCCAAATTTGTTCACGATCTCAACACTGAAGTCATAAAGCATTTAGACACAAGAGATCCTAGAAACCGCTTCTTCTTTCTCCATATCAAAACCATTGACCTTCGAGCACGCATTTTGAGTCAGCAAACACACTCGCTACCCGACATTATAGAGTCAGCGCTTGAGCTCGATAACATCGCGGCCAATATCTTCAAAGACTCAGGCCCAGAATGGGACTACGATATTGTACTATGCGAGAAACGACCAGAAATCTTTGACCACTTCTACCACGTCTATCACACAGCAATAGCTGCTCAGACTTGGAACTGGGTGCGCTACAACAGAATTTACTTTCATGATATTATCCGAAACTGTATACTAGCAGGCTTTGCGTCCACACCACCAGCCCTTGTCGGAGCAAAGTACCATGAGCAACTAGAAACGAGCGTCCGTACCTTGTACAGTTTACAATCGGACATCTTGGCCGGTATGCCGCAATTCCTACATGACGTACCCGGTGAAGTACCAAGCGAAGCGTCCGATCACACTACCAGCAACAACTCAACTCCGACGTCTGTCTCGGATGAACTCAGCGCATCACCAGCAAGCGGAGCTTCCCCCCAAACCCCCCCAAATTCACCTGCAGAGTTCCAGACTGCGCTCAAGACTCTTGATCAAAACTTCAAAGGCATGCCATCAGGCGTCGTCAAAGCCCTCATCGGCACCGGCTCAATCAAAGACCGTCTCCCCATCGTCCGCGTAGCAGGCGGTTACTCAACCGTATGGGCCCTTTATGTCGTACGTCTCCCCTCCCTCCCCTCTACTTCCCACCTTACCAGCCCATCCCTTTTACTAATTTTCTTCCCCCCTCCCTTTCCCACAGGCCGGTTCCATGCCCATCGCCTCCCCCTCTAGCCAAGACTTCGTCGCAAAATGCATGACGCGCGTGCAAAAAGAATTCGGCATCAATCAAGCGCAGGTCTTAGGCCAGGCACTCAAGTTCAAGCGCTACCTCGCTGCAAAGGGCGCCATCCCGTTTAGTATCTGTCCTAAGTATCTACCCCCGGATTCAGAGCCGTATGTACGGCCTAAGACGAGTGTGTGATGCGTGTGTGTAGCAACAGAGAATATAGTATGGGGCGGTTTGTTATGGAAGAAAGTGGGTGTGCGAAGGGAGGCTTGGAATGTGAGGGATGGAGGAGGATGCTATCTACCATGGATGCCGGAGATGAATCGTGGTCAAAGTTTTTCCTCTTTTTTACAACCTGGCTATAGGGCCATCCCTGTTCGATATGTGAAACTTAAAATTCACGTCACGCTTCTTGCGCTTGATATCTTGGTCTATTTTTTTCCTATATGATTGATGACTTGATGGTTTTTCTCATGGAGAAAAAAAAAGGGTTGTAGCAAGGTCATCTTGATTGCATCGAAGGGGAAGTGGAGAAAAGGGGGTTTATGCACGCCTGATTTGTGCGGTACTTTGGTGCGGAAATTAATGGCATGCTGGCGTGTTATGTAGCAATTGAAATAGCAAGTTTTTTCTTCTTCTTTCTGGTTATCATAGCGATTGGAGAGAGAACCTCTTTCATAAGCTCTTTTTGAACTAGATCTTGGGAAAAAGGAGGTGTGGGGAAGGAAGGCCTGAGCATGGATATGCTGAACTACGACTATTTTGGGCTCAGGGAGGCCAATTCGATTGCTCATTATGGCTCATTGATAGGCCTTCGTTGGCCAGACTCCATTACGCGATGTTCGATCTGTTGTTACGACTGCTTGGCCCGGTTTTTTCCGCTCCCGGTCACAACGTTTGGCTGTTTTCTCAACAGACATTTTCTTCAACGGGCTTTTTTTTCCAACGGATGATTTCAAGATCCTGGAAGCATATTTGTACACACAGGGCGCAAGCCAAGAGAACGTTCATGTCGTAGTGTACGGCCGTATACCTCGATATGACAGAATGATTTTGAGCATGAAGATTCGTTGGTGGAATTACTGAGTGAAAGTACTCCTCTTTATTCTGAAGGTTGTTCGATGTGATCAAGCCAACTCCAACATGGCATATCAAGAGCTATGTCCGCCATATTTATGTAAATTTTAGGACGAAGAGGCCTCTTGGCAGCGACGTACGTACAGCATGATGTGGGAAATAACCATTTGGCAGGTTTGCCGGGGAAAACTATAGAGATGGTAGGGCGACCAGTGGAATGGCCTACGCGATGGTGCACAGATGTCAACCTTAAATTAGCCATTTACCGGACGTTGTGCCCCATTTTAAATTGCAAAGGCCCGATCCATTTTCAATATTTACATACTTATGAGCCAAGATACTTAAGGCTGTGCTGATGAGTGCATACGCGTCCAACTAATTCCGCCAACGACACAAGGCAAACTCAGAAACATCTGCTGCCCAGCTCCTGTTGTACTGGTGGGATATCTTAGTATTCTTGGTTCTGTATTGTCTTCATGGTTTGCAGGACGAATTTTAAGGAAAAACACAACAACGGTGTGTTGACTGCTCTTGTCTAGCTTTTACCAGGATCTTGCTTGGCAGGGCGGGTTACGTTGCCCACAGTTTTCGGGTAGCTGCATGCGTCTACGGAACTGACGAGCATGTCCGTGAGCCGTGTTGGGTACAGGTTACATTGGAATTTAAGAATGTGGAACCTTGACGATAGAACGCAAGATCCCCGTCAAAATGAGAACAGCTGTATCCCAAAGCTCGATAACCGAAAGAAGAACCATGTACTTCCAGAATGTTTCCAGTGGCTTGAGGAGCTTTGAGGTCTCCTTGACACGGTTATCACGCGACGTTCCGCAATGGGAAGCGCACGGGACTCGATGGCATATCTGGCTTCGCGAGAACTCGAAACGCCACCTCCTTGACAGCCCACTGCCGCAAAATCTGCTCAGCCAGGCACCTTGGCTATCAGCTGCATGGATAGATGCTGCTGCTCAGCCATGTCCAAGTATCATTGCGACGTTTGATTCACCCAATATCCTTCGGTCCTTCTAAGTAGCAATTCTATGCCACGCGGCCCCAAGAGTCGACACACTGCAGCGTCCAAACATTGAGAAACATGGCTGCTGTTGATGAAACGCCATAAGCCCGTAGGCGGAAACAGATTTTCCTATGCAAATCCAGCCACCAATCTATAATTTCATGGCATTGTGGGATTGCGCCAAACACAACACAAGAATTTGAACCAATCGGAAATTATTCCAGAATCCGGTGTGGAATCAGTCATTCAGATACAGCGCACCGCACGTACTTGGACGAAGCTGGACTAGTCGCATAAAGGCATAGATGAGATGCCGCAGGATCGATAGAGCAGAACTAGAGGCCCCATTGTCTACCCCACCGGTAATACGAGGTCCGCTATGCCAAGATACACTGCGTAGTTTTGAGCTTAAATGAACTTGGTACCGATGGGACACTGACATGGGGAGGGAGGGAGGGAGGAGCGGCGGAACAATCTTCACTTGATCAAGTGTGCATTCTAGCGTGACCACCCGTCCCGTGTCCTGAGTCGCGAGCGACTTGCAATTCAACCGCGAGGAGGTGGCGGAAAATTGCTTGACTGGCCAGGCGTTCTATCTGGAGAGCGGAAATTGTCGCGCGCCTTGGCGTCCCAGATGAACGGGATTGATGTGGACCAGTTTACGGTTTCACTACACAGCTTGGCATCTTTCCACGGGCTAGCGTCGGCGCGGCATTCTGTTTCTAGCCCAAATCGACTTGACCTGTCATGAAGCCCTACATTCCACGAAACAGATGCCATCTGGGAGGCGCGGCGTCCAATCAAGGCACCTCCTCAGGCTTTTTGATTCAGACGCATGATGCGCTGCGCTTTGGTCACGATCCCCACTGGGGAGACATTCCACCGCCTGTACCTGGAACGCCCTCGGAGCAACAATTGCTGGAGAGCGGGAGCGACAATGAAACAGGTATAAGTGCAACAAACACCCCATGAGGAAGAGGGCATCCAACATCAAATCCATTCAGTCCTTCACTTGCTTGACGCATACCACACTCTCTTCATCTTCGACTCGCTTCTATTCGTGCTATATACCACTTTTTCCAAAGCATCCCAAATCAACACACTCTCCATCAAAATGAAGTTCTCCATCGCCGTCATTGCCGCTGCTTCTGGCCTCGTCGCCGCTGGCCCTGCTGCCCCCACCCCCAACGATGCCTTCGCTCTTACCAAGCGCGCCTCTCTCCCCGTCCCCGCCTCCAAGGGATCCGTTACCCTTAAGGCACCTCAGTCCGTCAGTGGCACCTTCGATGGTGGCATGAAGACCTACGGCCGTGGTGTCAGCTGCACTGGTCAGGTTGAGGGTGGCGACAAGGACGCCGTCTTCACCGTCAAGAACGGTGGTACTCTCAAGAACGTCATCATTGGAAAGGACCAGATCGAGGGTGTCCACTGCGAGGGTTCTTGCACTATCGAGGTAGGATATTTGTCTGTTCCGTGCAAGAATGATTAGCTAATTTCAACTAGAACGTCTGGTGGGTCGACGTTTGCGAGGATGCTCTCAGTCTCAAGGGTGACGGTAACGCCGTAGTCAGGGGCGGAGGTGCCCAGGCTGCCTCTGACAAGGTTGTCCAGCACAACGGAAAGGGTACGGTTACCATTGACGGCTTCAGTAAGTTTACCCCCTACTTTCTCATCATCTAGAATTCCAAATGCTAACCAATCCTAGCCGTCGTTGACTTCGGCAAGCTCTACCGTGCTTGCGGCAACTGCAAGAACAGCGTCACCCGCAACGTTGTCGTCAAGAACGTCAAGGCCTACAACGGAAAGGTCCTGACTGGCATCAACCCCAACTTCGGTGACAGCTCTACCATCTCCAACACCTGCGCTACCTCCGTCAAGACCATCTGCGAGGAGTTCAAGGGTACCACTCCCGGAAATGAGCCTTCCTCCGTCTCCAAGGGTCCTTCCGCCAACTGCAAGTACACCGCTTCCGCTATCAAGACTTGCTAGACGCCTTATACTCGCGGTTGGTAGTAGGGTAGATGTGAGCCTGGAGAGTTTGAGACGTTGGTCTGGACTTTTGGATTTTGGATTCTTAGTGTATATACTACTTCTTTCTCAGCACATATTAATACATGCCGTGCATGTTTTTTCAAATATCAAAAGAACACAACCTCTGCTTCGTTTGTTTACTGATGCTACTTTCTACTCGACTATCTGAACGTGCCACGAACAGCTGATGTTATTACTAGCTCGTCCGGCTTATTTGATTTACCACAACGCGCGTCTTATAAGGCCCGAATACAATCCAGCTCGCGTGCAGGACGGAGGAATACCAAGACAAGTCTTGGATTAGTCTTGGCGGCTTAATTTATTAGCACCCCACGGGGTCTTTTTTCACGCCACTTGTTTAATCTATCTCATGTACGCTTTGTCGTGACCTGGCTGATTCTATAGTCCCTGATAAAACCTAGTTTCCCTTTTTGGGTTCAGGATTTGCAATACACGTTCGGATCGGGATGCGCCTTTACCACCGTACTATCACTCTGAGGAAAGGATGTGCGAGCGTATAGATTCAGTCGGAATTATTCTGACCATCGGGACGAAGCATCTGCCCAGTGTTGTGGTAGATGTTAGTTCCGCACATCGCGGGACCTTGATCAGCGAGGTAACAAGCAATGCTTGGGTACCCTTGTTTGGGAGGCGGGGAGAGCTGCCGAATACGAATACGGTTGGTAAGTAGGTAAGCTCTTGGCATGCAAATACGGTCGTTGCGAGAGTCTGGGAACGCGACTTATTATGGAGAGCGGGATACAGCCGAGAGGCTTTTCCGCCTGTGCTTCGAATATGTGCGCTTTGTAAGATATGATTGGATGTATGATGAATCAAATCGGAATTGAAGTGTCTTTGAACTATACTGCGTATTCTCTATATACCAAAAGCAACTACCGACCAAGAATCGATACGTTAAGACAGGTGCCGTGGCTCTGGAAAATAGTGCTTCTGACATATTCACGTGATCTTCTGAGTAGCGCAGCTATCCCATCTATACCTGCCATTGAGGATCACAATGTTGTCTCACCTCTCGAGCGGCTCGCACAGTGAAAACTAAGTTTTGAGCTGCTTCGATTGCCTCACAGTGATCTTGATGACGAACAATGATCTTGATAATGCACAATTTATCTTGATAATGAACAGTAATCTTGGTGAACAGTGAGGAACCACGATGAGTGTTTTCACCTGTCGAACCTGCTTCCCCATAAGTATATTTACCTGTTGAATTTGCTTCCTACGAAATGAGCAATACCAACACAATAACCAACTGTTCAACCACCTACTACCACCTATTATTACTTTCAGTATATACTGAGTAATCTCGAGTAGATGATATCACCAGAGGATACTTGAAGCAACTATATACCCATAAACCCCGAGACTTTCGACACATATATACAATCATTTGTCGACCACATAGGACGACTATCCAACCGACCCGAACGACATGTTCAATATATACATCATCAGAAAACCCATGCACTGGACTGGCTCAAAGGGCGACGTCAGGAACTGGAAGAAGGATATATGGATGATTCTATCCTGCTGTTCGAGCAAGCAACTGCATTTGGCAAGCTCATATGCTGTTACGCCCAACTCGGATCAGCCTTCTATACGGAACTCCTCACAAAGTTTTGTATAAAACACTTCATCAACAAGCCAACAACCCAGCCGACCATTCGTATTCACTGAAGGGGCGCATGGTGACATTGTGGCGTTTGCTGATATCACGAGATATCCGATTCACTCGAAGTTCTGTTTGCAACCTTGAGGTAGAGGTGCCACGCGTCCTCAATTTCACCTTCGAAAACCCACATTCACTCCGTTTGTGGGAGGATATATATTTTGATCTCAGCCTCTATCCCGTTCTTTACACTACTGACAGACGAACCCGCAGAACCCGCAGTCGAACCTCTAGAGCCTTAGATTCTGGGATACTAACAGGAAAGACGCGGCTAACTTTGCGATATACACAGGCTCACTTCTCCATCGAACAGCAACAATCACATCATGTCGGACAAAGACCTCGATTGTAGCTTTGCCGAGGATACTCTCAGCAAAGCGGGTGACACGATGCCTATCGACACCTTGCTTCAACCTTCTACTATCCAGTCTCATTCGGGCAACGCCCATTCTAATTTCAACGAGAACCCCCCGGCAAGCCCGAGCCTCCACCTGAAGCCTATATGTCGCCCCAAGCCTGCCACCTCTGCATGCCTCGACAAAAATCTCGTTGAAGCCAACGGCCTCTACTTCCAGAATATGGCTGACGCAGAGGCTGTCATGAACAACGTTCAGTGGCTTGCACCAGTATTCGACAGCACTATCCCACAGACTGACAAAGACCATCAGAATGTAGTCAGGAAGCTCGTGTCGGCTTTCAAAGACATGTCCATGGCTAAGGATACTGCAGAGAACGCTTACCGCAAACGGTTAACCCCAGGCGAAGCGTCGTACTACCAGGATTGGGCAATCGAGGCATGTGCTTGGGATGTCATTGTGAGTCAACGATTGTGAAACTATATAGAAGTCTTACTGATCATGCCGCGTAGCGGATGGCCAAATCTATACACACCGATGGCTTCAGGGTTCCGATTTACGACAAGAACCTGGTCAATCACATCGGTCAAACTCAGGAGTGGACTTTTGGGGAGCGCATCGAATGGATCTGCACTGTTCTCAGGGTATGATACTCGTTTGTGTACGGCAAACGGCATGCTGACTGTTACTATAGACATCCAAGAACGTCGCTGCTAACCTCATGGTATGTTCGCACTGGTCTATATAGTGCTGACCCAAGTTGCTAATGCCATTATAGAAGAACGAAAAGGCATGGAACATCATCGGTGCACCTCATAAGATGTACCAGAGCACATTGACCAATACCGTTGCCAACGCCAACCGCGGAGCATGGGTCAAGAGCGGCCGTCAAGCAGACACTGAGCATCAAGCTCGTGTCAGCAAGCGTAGGAAGACGATCAATTCCTCGGACGACCAGAAGGATGGCATCGGCAATGCTTCTGACACGGGCAACGGAGCCTCGAAGCCACAGAGCGACGCAGTCACTCAGCTCGGTAAGCACAATGGCCATTAAAATTATACTGATTACTATATCTAACGATTCTGCCAACCGCTCAGCTGAGTATAGGAAGCTCATGTATACACCTGTCACTCCTCCCTCACCATCGAACGACGCGACGACCACTCCACAGACACCGGTCTCTTCTCCCCCGTTGAACGACGCGACGACGCCTACCCCACCGGCACCAATCCGCTCTTCAGATCGTTCATTCTCGTCCTTCACAGACTACGAACGTGACGCCGAGATCATTGCCCTCATGCATGGACCACTGCCAAAGGGCGACGACGAAGAGAAGCGCGGCACCAAGCGACGGTACAAAAAAACCACCATCAACAAGAACGACATCGTTGGGGGATCCAGCAGTGCAAAGAATACGTCCAGCAACACTATCAACAAGAACGACATTGTTGAGGAGGCTGCCGGTACGAAGAATACTTTCGGCAGGGTATATAAGAAATTAGCTACCTTTCCTCTCGCTTCCCGTACGAAAGATGGGTCCGGCTCCGCAAGTTCGCACGAAGATACCTCTTCCAACAACGAGGGCAGCTCATCTTAGCTCAGCGATCGAGACGATGGTTGCTATGACGATTGCAAGGACGTTGGCTTCACTGCGTGGTGCTCACTGAGCAACACAGCTGGCTCACTAGTTTGATACTGACGCATGAGCGTCGCTTCAGCACACATACTTGCATGGATTGTCAGAGGGTACATAGAATGTTGGGGCTTGCTAGTTGGGCGCTTTGATGTCCTGGATTCTTACGAGAATGCGTGCGTGCGACTCATGGGTTAGTAGATCTACGTGCATGAGTCGCAGGCCTACGGTTGAATGCTCCACTACTTCCATAGCATCGGCACCTATAGTGCACATCATTACATGATGCCCAGTAGCATGTTTACACATTGCTCGAGTCTAGGATAGAATATACTGGACAGTCTAACAAATTGCCATGTAAAAAGCTTATGCGATTCCCCTTCTTGTTCTCCTTGTGCTTCGCGGTCCAATCATGCCACCCTCTCCCTTTACTCCCTGCGTCTTGAGGCTAGCAACGAGAATCTCGACAGCGTTGAACGAGTCAATCGGACCCAGACCCTCCGTCTTTCCGTCGAGCATCGCCGTTGCAGCCCGACTAACAATAGCTTTTGCTTCCAGACTGACTTCTGGCAGTATCTCCGCCGTCGCACCCAACCACCTCGCTAACAGACCCTTGAACGAGACCTGATCGGTATTACAGGCCTCCTCTCCCTCTTTACCCTCACACTTTTCCTCCCACAGGGACCCAGTCTCGTGATTAACAAACGTGCGGTTTGCGGATTGGATAAAGCCTCTTGTCCTCTGGACCCATTTTGCGTCGCCAGTCTGTACCGCCATGACTGCGCTGCCGTACATGTACACGCCGACGTTGTAACTCCACTTGTTGTGGTTCAGATCCGCACATCCATTCTTCTCGTCGGTGCCGTCAAATACGTCGAACTGATCGCTCACAAGCCCCACATGCAGGCTCCAATCGTACACCTTCTCTGCCCACTCTTGAGCTTCCTTGGCGGCAGTTTCGTTGGTAGCTGCCGATAGTTTTCCCAGGCGTGCAGCAAGTTGGAACATCAAGCCGTTGGAAATGCTGTTTTTGTAAAAGAAGCCGTCGTTGCCGTCGCCCTTTGCAATCTTCCAGCCTAGACCGCCTTTGCATCCTGCTGCCCCCTTCTTCTCGTTACCCCATCGTTCTCTCTGCTGCGCAAAGACGTTGCGCGCAAGGTCGATCCATGGTACACTTCCTGGGGCCTCGGGGAATTTGAGCTCAGCTGCCGTGGCAGCAGCAAGGGCCCACCATGTCTGGTCGTCGTTACCGGTGGCATCGATGGTGAGGAAGTCATTGGTTGGTGTCGCTTGGCTGAGAATGGTTTGTTCGAGTAGTGGTTCATATTGGCGGTCTCCGGTCACATCGGTATATGTAAGCAGCGCATCGACGGCACAGCCAGATTGCCACCACCAAAATGGTTGGGGAAACAAAGCGAGATTTGGGTTGGGAAAGCTGGCTTTGAGGGATCCTGCGACACGTGGGGCTGTAGCGAGTAATGTGGCAGGCGCTGGTGCTGGTGGTTGAGAAGCAATCGCTGCGGATTGAAGAACGACGGTTATGGCGTTGGCAAAATTGGGTGGTATCATATTGGTTAGAATAATAACAAAAAACAATAAAAAAATAAATTGTAGGTAAATTTCGTGAAAAGGTAAGGAATGAGGTTGCAGCAACGACCTTGCGCAGTGAAATGAATGTAGTGTGGCACGCAGTACCAAAGGCTTCAAAGGAATGTGAAGTAAAGAACGGAAAACGTCGAAAACGACGAGGCAGAGGCCGTTAAGAAAAACGAGTGATTCGCAAACCAAGACAAGTGGAAGGAAGGACGGAGCGAGCGGTAGGACCCAGTCAAATCATTGCCACAGAAGGATTCGACTCAGCCTACTGATACTAAGCCACACCACTGCATATCTCCTTTTTCATGGCACGGATTCTAGAATTCGGTTCGACATCATAGGCCATCCACTTAAATTTGAACGCGTCGTACTGCTAATTAGCACTGCTGAGTTGTCTCCACCCACACATCCCACTTTATGGCCGAAGGCTGTGGCCAGCTCTTATCGCCAAATCAATGCACACGCATGCGTTGTGCAACAAGAGATTTTCCCATCTTCCTATTCGCATATCCGTATCTTTCGCCCACGTTGCCGAGCGTATACCCCTGATTTTCAGGTAGCGACCCAGTTTTATGTCGTTAGATCCCTGTACAGCCGAGCCAAATCCTGAAACACGCCATGCCATGTACCCGCTGAGGCGTGATTGGCTGCATGTGCAAAATTCCTGAGGTGTCCAACGGTATCCAAATAAAGAAACCTCTCCGATTTGGACGGACGAAACCGTTGAAAGCCAGATCAAGATTGTGTGTTTATGCTGAGTTGCTGACATGCGTATGCTCCGGCAGGGCGTGGTAGGGTGTTGTTAATGTGTGCAAGTGGTGATGGCAAACCATGTACACAATCAGAATTCGCGATGCGCTTTATGATTGCATTGATCTACGACCGTATGAATATGTCGATCGTCATATGTACGTAGAGGTTTCTGGAGTGACGAGGGCAGATATAATACTTCTGGCCGGTTATTCATAGCGCAGGAACGCGACACCCTTGCTCTTATCGATAACTTGTAACCCACGCGTTCTATTAGCGGGATTGTTGTTTAAGCAGATGAGTTCCTGGTGTCCTCGTGTTTGCGCATTGTTTCGGTGGATTGATTCGCGTGTAGTTGGCCACGGACCAAACTGCTGAAGATTGTTAGCACTGCTCCATGTTCCGATCAATACGCCATACCATCGTGCCTATCGAACACTGTTTCTTCCATCACAACTTTGTTCTGTGAGCCTCGCAGTTCAATGCATTACGGGAGCTTCGCAAAGCATTGTCGCCTTCCCATAATTGGCACGTTAGGCATCTCCACTCTGCCCTTACGCTTTTCTCCTCCTCTTACATCCGAGCATGGAAGTAAATGTCGCTGTAACTGACTGATTGAAACCGATTGTTAATGGAGTAGCTGCAGTGGGTAGTAATGGGTGTGCGACAAGTGGACGAGACGTGTCATCTAAACCGAGCCAGGCGCCATGGCATCGTGGCACGGTTAAAGGGCCGAGATGAATAACATGTAGTCACTATCTGCCGTGCCGAGGGTCCAACTCCACGGTCATGGCACGGGAAGGCGTAAGCTCCGAGGATGCTACACTGAGAAAACAAAAGCAACTTGGTGAGAGCAGCTTGGCTGATAAGATAAGAACTATGTCGTCATCGTGCTACTGAACATCCTCAGCTTCAAGCCATCACCTTCAGACCTGGCAACTTGAAAAAGAGACAGATTTACCCGCATGTAGCCTCTTCCCGAGTATCTCAAAGACTACGTGCCACACTACACTATGGCTAGTTGCGCAATCTTCCACAGCATGGTACCTTCAGATCTATAATAGATCTGGCTCCCGACACGATCCGGCGGTTAGCCATTAAGCGGGAAATCTACAAGCCCCCCTCTCCAAAAACAACTAAGCGCGATCGCATCGAATCTACAGTTTGCACGATCATCTTGCTTCGATCGGATTATGCGGGGAACACCCCCTCTATGCGGCTGCTGGCTTACAACCACGCACGAGTAACACCGATGGAGCCAATGGAGCTCTCATAATGACGTCGCGGAGCATGCATGTTGGACCAGGAAGTAGTTCCCAACAAATATGATTTAAAAAGGACGGGTGGAGGAGGGTATTTGGGAACTGGAATTAACTAGTTGAGTTTGTACACTGCGCTTCCAACGTGCGAAATTGATTCAACCTTTCCTTGACAAACATGCCTTCCATGAACTCTACCGTACGTGCTTTCCGCTGAGAAAGCCAACCAAGATACATGTCTCGTAAGAGAAAGGGTCTAACAATAGTGCCAGGTCTTCCACGCATATGCGTATGGCACGGCATTCTGGTACGGCCTGCGTGGCTTGTGTCGTGTATACGACCCCATAATGGTCATCGGATGTACGTATACAAACCCCCTTTCAACCAGAAAACCTCCTCCAATCCACACCAAACTAACAATAATGTCCAAGGGTTCCGTCCCCCCTCGCAACTGAACCTCGCACCCAACGACCTCGAAACATACAACGTGCGCAACGACGGCTGGTGCCTCATCACACTCGCTCTAGTCCTCATTTCCCTCACCAACGCCGTACCGTTTACCGCGGAGTCGGCGAAGAAGTTTTCGTCGGTGCCGTATGCTAAAGCGATTGTCGCGGCGACGATCTTTCACCACGTCGCGACGGGTATCGGTGCGTACCAGCATTATAAGTTGCCGAGTCATTACAACACCAGCATGGGCATTGGCGTTTGGGGCAACATTTGGTTGTCACTTACTGGGTTGTTTACGCTGGCTTTGCTGCAGAGCGATGCGGGAGATATGTCTGTTAAGCGGGCTGCGCAGAAAGTGAAATAAGTGGGCCGATGCCTTTGAGAGACCCTCAAGTTGGAGAGGCAGTAGAGTTAAAAGTCGGTGATTGGAATGTAAAGCAGTGGCATGGTAGCCTTTCACTGCGGCTAGGGAAGAAGAGTAAGAGAGAGTACGGGGTTGTACAGCTAGTTGCTCTAATAACAAAGTCTGAATCGCATAACCAGATATAACATATCAACATTAATATGCAAAAAAGAACATATCTGCACTTCATCTCCTCACCACACCCTCTCACACACACCCCAGCAACTCCCCACACCCCTCCACATACCCCCTAAACTTCCACCCCTCCCTCTTCATACCACACGGCGTACAATACCCATCATAACCCTGATACACCATCTGCAGCCTACACCTCGCCGACTGGCGATAAGGCACAACGCCCACCTGACCGAGATAGTACGGCTCGTTAATCCGGTTCAGCGCCCTGCGCACATCGCGGCATGGTTGGGCTTGGATGTAATTGTGGTGGTTGCAGTGGAGCCAGTGTTTGTCAATGTCTTTGCACATTGTTTTCTTTTCTTTTTTCTTTAGTGGTATCTAACTTTTGAATTCTGTCATATTGGTTTCTCAAATGTCTGGGATTTCGGTGAAGGGGGGCAAGATTTTGGTGTGGCCCTTGGAGAGAATAAAGTAAAAGTGTGGGGTCAACTTGGATCTATATATATATAGGTGAATCTTTTTTTTTGGAGGTAAAACTTTTTTTTCCTCTTTTCCCACATTTATAAGCATTAGGGGAGATGCAATGGAGGCGATTTGTTCCGGGGGTAAATTGGTCTTCTTGCACGGTTGTGTAGCATTAGGATGCGAAAATCGTTGGTCGTGGGGAAGAGGGAGCGCTCAGGCCAATCGCTGCTACTATCATGTTATGTCTCTCCAAATCTTTGGAAAAAAGGGGAGAGATGCCTCGTACGTCAGACCCCCCCCCC